CTCAGTAGGTTACGTTTTTTATGGTGTTCAGCAAACATAGCCTCCTCCTCCTACAGGTGCAGTCCACATTAATTTCCATACAGGCACTGTGACATCTTCCAGAAGGTTTCTCAAGTGAATTGGGGGGTTGCTTGGGGGAGAGGTGTCATCTGGGGGTCTCTGGTGGTTGAGTTCCCCAGTAACTTGCCTGACAGTAGCCCCAGTTCAACTATCACATTGTTCCATTGATATGGTTAACGTCAACCGACGTAAAGAGGAGGCAGACCATGCCTGCAGGGGCCTGTTCCCATAATCTCATCGGACACAAGTGGCAAGATAAAGACCCCAGCTGTTTGAGACATCCTTCTTTACAGTCTCTCACAGATGGTATATGGATTTATCGATGGGCAGTTTTAACTGCTGCAGGTGAAGTACTTTACTAGGAGAGTGCAAGAGAGCGATGTAGTGGGAAGCTGTTAGAAGTGAATGCCCGATTGCATGCTTGGAAAGAACAGGGGTTGTTGGTACTTGAAAAGTAATCTTCGATTTCTTTCGCAGACTCTCTGCAATAATATGGTTAGGAAAACATTAATCTTGTGAATCTTACTGCATGGTTATACGGGCTTACCTAAACAGGATGCAGAAAAGAGCTAATTAAGAACAGAGTATTAAAACTTCAATAAAATCAAAATCCAGTGAAGTATAGACACACTTGTTTTTTCATTAATATCAAGGTTTATCAAAATAAAATATGTGTATTGTCCTTAAACTCATTTTAGCAAAACATGGTATTGGTTACAGACATCTACATTTTAAGGGTGTTTCCAGCTCTTTCGAGGTCTATGTAATTTTCTTTTGAATGCTTTTCGAGTCTCCCTGCCAACTTGTGCTAGGAAGCGATACACTGTTGACAGATAGAGTCCAAACAATTTTCAAAATTGATTGCATGGGGAAATCAAGAGACACCGTCTAGTGATGGTTGTTTTCTTTAACAGAAGCTTGTTTTCCAAGAGTAAAAAGAGCAGCATAGCAGTCCTCTGAGAAGAAAACTAACCATTAGTTCCTTTATATAATTTGTTTTCTTAAGTATTTTGCTGTTACTTGTTGCTACTTCTGTAATTCTGCTGATTTTTTATTATTGAGTGAAAAGTACTGTATATGGTATTCTGAATAAGTCATACGATTGATTTATTTAATTGCAGTAAAGTTTGTCCCTCAAATTTATTTTTTTTTATTTACATCTTAAATTTTGAGAAGACTGCACCTTAAGATGAAGTCTTTATGTATCTATCCAAAACTTATTTCCATTTTTTTCCCTAGAATTCAGTTGGACATATTTATAAATAATTTAAATTTCCATCTTCTGTGTATTGGCTATATGTCACTCCACTAGTCAGACTAAGAGTTGCAAAAGAAGAATTGCTTTAAATAAAAAGCTCATGTCTGTTAGTTACTTCCTTGTGAAACTATGACACCTACAGTGTTACAAAATCTTTTATTCTTCATTGTTGGCTTTTTTAATTTGTTATTTTGTTACAGTTTCTGGAAGTGTCTTGTATGCATATATGCAATGATTATATCCATGAAAAATAACAAAAATGTTTTAGGACCTATGCTGGAAATTGCCATTCCATGTTCTCTTTCAGGTAACTGGTGCTTGGTCACAGCATTAATGTCTGTCTGTCTGCTTTCCCTCTTGCCTGTTTTCTGCATCTGGTTCAGAAATGGGATTAGTGTTGAGATACTTGTGGCAGTTGGAGATCTACATTAGGGTAGAGATCTTTGAAAGTCACATTGTTACAGTGGGGTTGGGCTCCACTGAAGGCAGGTGAAATCAAGGGAGAAACTTATGAGACATTTGCAGGTTTTCATTTGGGATTAATTTGAGTTTGACTATCCAGCAAACTTATTAGATCTTCCTGGAGGAAAATACGGAGACGTTGCAGGATAATGACCCTTCCAACGTAAAACGTGGCATGGTATTTTTTTGATACAGGCCTGTAATGATGGTCCTGCGAAGTAATGCTCTTGTGAGTGTCAGTCTTATCCTTTCACTTCAAAAATACAGATTAATTGGCTGTAGAGCCCGTGCACATGAGCAGAACTGAAATATATGTGCAGAGAAATAAAGTAACAACTTTTTTGTATGTGTGGTCCTTTTTTCAAGGGACCACAGAATCCCACAATAATTGATGCATTGAATCAATTTTACTGCAACTGCTCCAGCCTTAAAATATATTTTGTTATGTATAGCAAGGATATTTCTCATGTTGTCACAGAGTACTGATTCATTCATAAAGAATTCTGCACACAGTTTGGGAGTTCTGATGCTTAAAGTAGTGGCAGATTGGTTCTGCCCTGATTTTGCATATTATGGTGATCACTTTAACCTGGCTTGTCTGGAAATGTTTACAAGCAATTTTCGAGTATTTTAGAAGATCAAAAAGCAGATTATAATCTGTTGCTTTCTAGTTTTCATTTATTAGAATGGAATTGAAATGAAGCATTTGGTCCAGTGAAATAGAACATATTGTTAGGTGCTCACTGGACAGAATATCACAGATGGGAAATCAAAAGGTAACTTTGGACCAACTTCTCCCCTTAAGTTTTTTCGACTCTATTTGATACTTGTTGATGGTGGGTTTTTTTGATTGGTTGGATTGTCGGGGGGTTTTTTTTATATTTTATTTGGGGATTTTCTAACTTAAAAGCTTGCACCAGGGAAGATTTGTAACTATTTGAGGGACGTAACTCCAATGCTAGAATACTCACAAGATTAAAAAGCTTTTCCAGTGTGTAAGCACCTTCCTTATTGCAATTTATGTTCACGATTTCCATCTCCAGCAGACAGAGACCTTTTCTGTGTGCAGTAATCTTTTGTGGGCTTCCAAAAAAAACCTCCAAAGTCAGTCTTTGAGCAAATCTTTCTGTAAGGGAAGCTCAAAAATTGGGATGTATGTTTTTGTCCATTATTCACAAGAAGGGGTAGAATATATGTTGAAGAACTGATAAGTCTTGACCTGGGCTGATCTAGGCCATCTGCTTAATTTACTGTCTTTTAAATATTTACAAATGAGCTGAGTGGTTTTTACAGAATTGAAGTTAGACTGGCGTGTGCTTCTGCAGCTCATTCTCCCATTTCTTAAAAAATGACACGTGTCCAGGATTTGGGGAGTTGCCTATTCTCCATCAGTTCTCAGAATCACTGGCAGTTATAAAGTCGTTGCACCAGCTTGTTATTGGATACCCTGCAAAGATGCTTTTTAATTAGGGCTGTCTGATGAGTATCTCTTCTTTCGTCATTAATTCTTACCCTGTTCTTACTGCTACTGTGTTCCTTGTTAGGAAAGACAGAACACAAACGACTTATCTGTGTGCAATCTCTTGGCGTCTCCATTGGGTACTTGCTTATTTCTGTCCATAGTGTTCCACGTGGTAAGGAGGTGGTTGTGGGATACTTGCTTTTCCTTTCTATGTCTCATGCTAGCGATACTCACTTTGTGCCGCCTTCTTTTGAAAGTTTCCAAATACAATGAATGCTTCTTTTACAAACACAGGCAGTAAATTGTGTCATTTGAAAAGATTAGGATTCTCCCAAATCTTTTGGTGTTTCTGAGGAGAATCAGTATTAGTGGGGTTTATCTTAATGTATGTTTCTTGTCTAAATGACAGTGGACTAAGGTCATCATAGAAATTAGATTACACTTTGACTTTGGTATGGTAGGTGGCCTTTAAATATTGTAAGTTCTATATTCAATATACAGTATTTTCTGCCACCAGTAAAGCTCTTGGAATAATATTGAATCAGCCATAATGTGATATATGTTGTGTGACCTTACCAGTCCTAAGCTCTTACCCTTTGCAGTTTTATCTCCTTTTCATGAATTTAATGCCTTGTATAAACCTGAAATTACCCTTTCCTTAGACCTCGGCAAATAATGTTCTTGCATAAGGGCAAAGAACAAATCAGTGTTTGGGCTCGAAGAACTGACAAGTAATATAATTGTATAAGTGGAGATAACAAGAAAAACTTATTTACCTAAAATACCATGTGTTCATATATTAAAAATATTTTTTTTAAAAAAGCCATGCACCACAGCTGCAGTATTCTCCTCCTAGTTGTCTTATGGTTGTCCTGGTGAAAGAACCAGTCTGTTCTGTCTGGAACGGTGGAGCTTCTTCTGGAAATAAAAGCTAGTTACAAAAGTTCAGGAAAGAAAAAGATAAGACCTGAGGATTCCACATGTAAGAAGGGCTGTAATGCATTTCTCTTTAAAAAGATAATTTTACATATAGTAGTTAAAGAAAAAGTTTCAGTAAGTTCCTGAAAATTTTTAGGTGAACTCTGGTGCCCCAGGGAGACTGAACAGGTCTGTGCAGGTGGGGAGACAGTTATATAGCTAGAATCAGTTTTGTTAATGAGAACATTAATTAGGTCTCTTAAAAAGTACTTAAGTGATTACTTTCTAAGCTATTAGGTGTATAAAATTGTTTCCAGCTAAAAATATTCTGGGAACTTCTATAAAGAAGATAACTTTGGCTCTTTTACAGTAATAATGCAGTCCAAGAGAGGGAGATGGGTGCCTTCTCAAAATATCATACAGAAGATGATCATAACTGTGTTTAATACATAAAGCTGCTGGAAGTATTGTTATTTGCTTACACATACAATCTCATATGTATAGTGCATTTAAAATGCTTTTTCATTTTTCTTTATATGAGAGGATGAATTGTAGGTTGTTCATAGTGTATAATGAAAGGTGGATCCATCACAGCTAACGGCGTTTAAGTGATAGTCTCTAAGGTGTGAATTGAAACCAAAATGTTTCATTCCTTTGCATTTTCTTTCTATTGGAATATGAGACTATTTACGGTATACGTGGTTTTATTTTACATAATTTTAAATTCCTTTCAGAAAATACTTAATTTAAACATGTTACCGTGTTTTCTCTGTTTCAGGCTTGCCACCTGTGCCTACTACGTCGAGGACAGGCTTTGCTGAATCTTCTGTTAGAGAGCGAATGAGAGAGAAACTAAAAGCAGCAAGGGTGAGAATCCTGCAGAAGTCCTGTTTGGTTGACTTTAGTCTTATAAGTGCCGCCCACTTAATTTTGTTTGCTTAGTGTTATGTGACCCTGAATGGGGGTATCTGCTTTTTTCTTTCTGATGCTGAAATAATACTCAGTTCACCAGTACAGTTATTTTTCAGTGTAATTCCATTGCTGTATTTTTTTCTAAAGTTTTTACTTTATTTGTTTGTAATAATATTAAAAGTATCATTGTCTTATAATTCAAATGTGTTTCTGTAAAAAAATTTCTTACACTACTTTGAAATCAATGGGTTTCATTTTAAGTTTAATGTACAGTTTAAAAAGGGAGTATTAACATCTAGGTCTGTAAAATCACTTAAGCTGATTATACAGTTAAAAGATTCTGTCTCTAACACAAATGTGCCTAAGTTGTTGTCTTCCTGGTAGTTACTGTAGCTGTGGCTTTACTCTGCTTCTGTTGGAGCTAAGCATTTTTTTTGTTTGTTTGCTTAGTCAAAAGCAGAAATTTCTTTGTTGCAAGAAGACCCCAGTCCACGACCAAGGCGTTTAAAAAGCATCAGAGAAAGGAAGGCAGAAGTCAGACTGGATAAAGCGGTAAGAAGGTGTATTGGGTCTTGCTCTTTTGATAATGAGAAAGTGAATGTGAAACAGGAAATAAATCCAAGGCTACACATAGCTTTGAAGATCAACTTCATTTATTTTAATGGAATCAGAATTATAATATTATTGGAATAATATTATCCTATTGTTTGAGTAATACACTTCCCATGAAGGAACTTTTCTGGTTACTGCTTTTAATGTACATATTTGACAATACTCATTTGCTTTCATTATAGTATAGTCATCATGTGAAACTTCCATCATTTACAGCTTCATGACTTCTGTTACTTAAGATGCCTTGAAGTATTTAAAAGTTACTATAACCGAAAGGACCTTTGTATTACAGCTTTGTATAAATTTATGCACAGTAATTGCTAAAAGCTGGATATTAAATTTATGCTATTGTACTGTACTGTATTTCCTTGTTACCACGTTATATTCAGGACTTTTTTTAGTAAAAGCATGTTGTTTATTGGAAAATTAATGTTTTATTAAGAAATAATAAACGCTGTGCCTGTGCAGAGCTTGCACGTAGATATTCTTCAAAATTCACAAAGAGATTGATTGCCTGTAGAAAATGTGTTCCAAAGAGTGTGTGTGTCCAGGACATAACAGCATGTATCAATAACGTTTTTGTCTGGAATTCCAAAGAGTGTGAATTAGCTTGGCTAAATTGCTTGTCTAGGGGAGAACTGCCTGATCAGGTAGGTTGTGGGGAAGGTTTTTAGCAGTGTTTTCTTATAAAAAGCAATCATCATACATTTCAGTTCAGTAGTATTGTTATAATACGTATTAGAAAAATGTGGAATTGACACTTATTATAGTTAGTAGTTTTATATAAAGTATATCTGAAACCTTGCATTTGTTGGTTTTGTTTCCTGCACTTAGTTACACACATCCAAAGTTTTGCTTTGTTGTTAAACAAGTGGCCATCAGATTTCCAGGGTTTGAGATTTTCTTTTTGCTATTATTATCATTATTATTAGTAGTAGTATTTTGAAATTTAGATTGCATAGATGTAAACTTGAGAAATGTATTCTTTTAATCTACAAATTTGGGCCACAAGGAGGAACACCAGAATGTTAGATGTGTTTATGTTGGCTGAGCCTAATGGAAAATCTCTTTGAAGCACTTAAGGGAACTTGCCGAAGTAACCTCAGAACCAGGGATATTTACAGTAATCTGTGCATAGGAACTGTTAAGGGTTCAGAAAACTGGAATAGCCCCTGGGCTTTTGTTCCTGGGCTTTTGTTCCTGTCACCCTCTCGTCTGGAGATGGGAAAGAAGATTTTGCTTTGCTACCCCATTTCTCCCCCTCATGGAGGTTAGCGTGTGGTTTCTTGTGTTTGGGAGTGCAGCAACAATGATCTTGGCAGCAGTGAAGAAAGTAAACAGACGTCTACACAGTGAACAATTTCTGATACTCTGCAGTCTATTTCTTGACCCAAAGGAGAAAGGAGTTAAGTAATAATTAGCTGTACCCCTTTGTTATTAATTCTGTTGTGAAAATCCAGTATGTAATCTCTGTATTCAGCTATTTATTTATTTTTAATGGATCAATAAATGTGTGCTCTAACTCATGTATGTATTTTTATGCAGTCTGATGGTGATAAAGTTAGGGAGATGCAAGAGGATGAATCCCAATTACCATCAAAAATAAAGTTTCGTGATTCTGTAAAAAAGCTTAACCAGAAGTCAACAGTAAGTACTAATTCCTTCACTTCAATAACTGATATTAATTTCTTTAAAAATGTTATATGGCTTCGTGATTGTCTTTGAAGAAGCAGACAGAATTCAGTCTTAAGCAGTGGAGAAGTTTTTATTTAATTTAAAAATTCACGAACAGTGTATGCCAACAATTGAAGTATAAAAAGTGAACCTTCATCAAATATAAGAAAGGCTTTGAATCATTTGATTTAAAGAAAAATAAAATTAAGTAAATCCATCTGAACATTGTTACTGGAGCTTCGAGGAAAAGTGTTTAATCTGTTTAAATCCTTTCTATTGAATGCCACTATTTGGTGATTAAAGGAATTTACAGGTAAGTATGTTGATATCCATTAGCCACAAAATGCTGCTGTCAATCCTTTTGTTGGAGGATTCATCCTAACACTAGAGGGGCCTGGGTTCTTCAGAGGCAAAATGCCATTAGAAATTTCTCTTCATATCATTCTCATGGGTATCTGTGTTATGGCCAGATTTTAAACTTTGGCATTTCTCGTTTGCAGATGGTTTATATTTAAAACAATAAGCTGGTTAAAATTAAACCAAGTAACTTTTTAAAATAAAACATTGCAAGAAATATTTAATGGAATAAGAGTATAACATTCATGTATCATTTAAAAATTTCAGTCAGCTTCAACATTTGGAAGATTACTCTTTGGGATAAAATAATTATTACCCCATGACAAATGTTTTTAAATGCTGTTATTGCTATTATTAATAGAAAGCTATCTTTGCTTGCCCTAAATTTCTTATCAATGTTATGTATCTTTGTCTTCTTTTATTAGTTCCAAACTGATTTTCCTTCTGCTGAAGAAGCATACAATTTCTTTACCTTCAATTTTGATCCTGATCCACAGAGTGTAAAGGCTAAAGCCAGGAAAAGGAATGAATTAAATGAAGAGGAGGAGGTAGAAGAAGAATATGTAGAAACCCATGAGGATGAACAAGAGGAGGATGAAACGGTGTGAGCTATAGAATAAATGTTCATATTTTTATTTGGGCTTCTTGAATTAATTTCCTTAAAAATTCTGAAAGTATACTTTCTAAAGATCTCCTTTATAAGAAACAGAAGAACTAACAGAGACATTTGCACCTGAACTCTAGGATGAAGACGCACGCCTAGTCAAAGATGATTTATTCATTATAGGGCAGACAGATGAAGATTTTCTAGTAATGAAACCTCCTGATTGTGAAAGCTACTCTGAGCAGCTGAAGAAGGAGAAGGAATTTCTCTTCACACCCAGCATGCTAGCAGGTATAAAAATTGTGCTTGTCTGTTTTGTTCCTGGATTTTGCATAGCACAGTGCCCTTTGATCTGCTGAAAAATCTGTGTCAGGCTGGCGGTAGAGAGATATTTAATTGTGGTTCTCTGACACTGATCATCCAGTCGAGTCTGAGAAGGTCTGACAAAATGGATTAGCTAGAAACACGCACACCTCAGCAAGGTCACCAGCTGGTACTTGGGCAAGTGAACTCCAGGCACGTCAGTTCCTCTGCCCTAATTACCTTAGTGCTGTCTATATGAAGTGCAAAACGGCTGCCCCCTCGTTCACTGGTTTTTAGCTATTACGTTATTTAACATAAGCAACAGGTCACTGGGGACACACATTTAGGGGCGGAGTGGTTTGTGCACCATCCCGTATAACTTACACTGTTTCTTCATTTGGCCACCTCTGCAATTTTTTCCATGTGGCAAGTTTGTCAAGAGTCAGGTAGGAAACAAGAATTTGTAATTCTTATATATTCAATATACAAAAAAAATTAATTTCAGAAGGTGTTTTACCAAAATCTGATTTTGTGAATTGGAAATAGTTAGTCAACAATGATTGATTCTCTGACCATTTTGTCTTGTTCCAATAGAATTGCTGAGTCTCAAAAAAAATTGCTCTATAATATCACTCAATGTTTAATATTTGAAGTGGAAGAAACAGAAATGAGTCTCTCGGTGGTCTGTATCGGAAGGGTATCAGCACAGCTTACAATGCAATGTCAAAATATTTGACATTGAGTGCTTCTGTTTTTTCCTGTCTTGTGACTTAGTTTGGTTGCTTCCAGTGTTGTCCACTGTGTTCTGATTTAGGGGATAACTTCTAGTGAAACCCTCAGTATAATCTCTCCCTGTTTTCGGATTGCTCCTTGAAGAATACTGAGCCCAGTGAAATAATCCTGCAGGTAGACTTCAAAGAATTCCACCTGCTGCTACTGGGCTACCCTAACTTTTTATGCACGTTCCATGTTACGTACAAGAGCAGCTTAGGCAAACAAGTAATTGTAGTTCAAATTAATCTTAAAATTTCACTTCATATGGAAAGGCTTAGAAATGTTTGTCTAGTCAGTCGCTGCTAATGGGTTTATACACTTAAGCAAACAACCATTAAAATTAAATGCCAGTAAGTTATTTGAAGTATTTTTTGGTGAGGAAACTATCTGTTTAATTATCTTTTTAGAAGATTTGTGACTCTCTTAGCATAGATTTAAACTGTGGATCTGTCCTGATTAGGAAAAAGACCTGTTTTGGTTATGTATTTATTTCTTTTTTTTTCCTAGTTAGGAGAATGTTTCTGACAGAATGGCACAGGCTCTTACAGAGTTAATATACTAGAACTGCAATTATAAGATACTTTACATGATTTTCTGTTTAATTTGTCATTAGTGCCCACTTCTGAGAAGATGCCTGGAAACGTGCAGCCTCGGTACATCGAGGATGAGGGTCTTTACACAGGAGAAAGGCCCTTTGTATCACAGTCCAATCAAAATATTGTGGAAAACAGAATACTCAGACAAGACCGAGTAAGTTGCCGCTACCTTAGTTGTCCTTTTAAAACTCTTTATTTATCAATATTTTATTTTGTTGTAGTTAAGTAGGTAGATGGTCACGCTAATATGGGGCTTTTGTCTTTAAAATGTTTTATGGTATCAGACAATGTGGATTTTTGTAGGAGTGTGTTTTACTGTATCCCAGTAGTCAGAGCACCAAGCTGGGTCTTAGAAACCTGGTGTCTTTTCATGGCTCTACTTGTAGCCTGCTGGGGAAAAAATCACTCTGGTTGTCTGTGCCAGAGTTTAGTTGCCACTTCAATAGGGTAATTATAGTTTCCTTTTTTTATAAAATGCTGGGGTACGTATAAAGACTTATGCAAGAGCTCGGCACAGTTATTTTGGTAGAAGATCGTAATGAAAGGGAGCAATATGGAATGACTGTTTTCTGTGTCCACTGAAGATAATATGGAGTAACAGATTTGTAGTTTACTGAGCAGCCTGTAAAGGTAATTAAGTATTGGTATAGATTATCTGATCAGAATCGTGTGAGATTTTTGAGAATGGCTTATGGAAACACCTATGAAGGTCGCTTGGATATATTTTATCCTGCTGTATTATCCTCCTGTACACAGTAAGGTGTATATAGGTTAGTATAGATTTAAGCTGCTATCTACAGCAGTTGCCTTTTATATTTATTATGATTCTATAAATGCTTTGTGGGCTAGCAAGAGGTACTTTTGTGAATGAGATTGGGAATATTTGGATCTAAAATTTTTAACTGGTCAGCTTCAACCTGGTTAGTTTTCTGTTTTGTTTCACCATGTTACCAAATCAGTGTTTGGTTCTAGGGTCGGCTTAAACCAGGTGTGGGAATAAGAGGGGCAGGCCAGTGTCTTTCAGCAGCTGCACTGGTTTAAGATGTGCTTGAATCCAGGTACTGAGAGCAGAGGAGTGAATTAGGAGATTGTTTAACATGTGAAGCCATGGATAGCAATTGGTGTGTAAGGTGTTAACCTCATCTGCTTTCCTAGATGCTGTTTAATTAGTTAAGGTTGTGGACTGGAAATGGTGAGAGATGCTGTGGTAAATTGTCTCTCCAAGCTGCAGTTGAGCTCTTTAAGATGTACATGGCAGTACTGTGTAAAACATTACAATTCTTTCAATTTTAGTGATTTAAGAAAATATATACATATTGTGATGTGTGTGTTGGTTTTTTTTTTTTTATTTTTTTTTTTCAAATCTGTAACACTGTTTAAGGAAAAAATTCAGTGTATTTAAAGTTTGAGCAAGCCCTTGGTCTTTTAATTTCAAAACTTACCCATACTTTATTTGAAGATTTCATTTTTGTGTCTTAGTTTTGGTTAATGCAGTGAATTCAAACAATTTGTAGTCACTTTTTCTTCTGTAATTGCTTTTCATAAGAGTTACAATTCTGCAAGTTCTTTCTATATGAAGTAAGAAGCAAAATTATGTTTTTATTTAAAGAAAGAGTGGTTTGGTGATGATGGCAAGATCTTGGCATTACCTAATCCAATTAAACAGTCATCTACTAGACCTCCAATATTCTCACTGGACGAAGGCATCGTACCAGAACTTGAAACAGTATATAGAAAGGTAGGCATATTTCCTGTATATGGTTCCTGAGACCAACTACCCCACTTCTGTACCAGAAACCCTGGTTAGCTGAAGGGTTTTGTGCTAAGCACTGTGACTACTGACTGCTTTTTGAAGTTCCACAACTGGTCTTCTGGTGTGCTGCTACTTTTTCGTGTATATTTTGCCTGCACTTTTCTGTAAAAATAATGCATACAAAAGGATGAAGAGATTAGCTGGTAGTACTGGTTAAAATAGTAAAGTGACGGTCAGGGACAAACTGCTTCAGGTCTGCGGGTCACTGAGATCTCTGTGAGGCCCCCTTGGATATTCTCATGCCAGAGTAGGGTGGTTCTTATGTTAGTGTATCTGTAAAGCTCCTTATGGTAGAAGCTGGTAGGCAGACTTGGTAATCAGGACAGACGTGTTCTCTGCAGCTTAGCAGAGAAATAATTGAAGGGCATGTGTGTGATGGTTATTTTACAGTGATGAAACTCCTCCAAAATAAGTCTTTATGTGCTGTTCACTTACTAATTTTGAGTTATGTTGCATGAGTTCAGATCTTTTTTTGGTCCTCCCTCAACCACAACATACCTGCCCTGGCAAAGAGCAGTTGCAGTTTGTGTTCAGTAAAAATCAAAATAAGTGTCAGTTAATACCATTCAAGTAGCTTTAAGCAAACTTTAGTTCTGCTTGTTAGCACTCTGTTATTCCCTTGGAAAAAACTCTGGCAATTTAGGCTTTCAAGTAGACGCTTTTTTGTGACGCACAGGTGTTTGTCTGCTGCCGTTCCTGCCACTTTGAGTGTTGACCTTTAATTGGTGGTGGTTACAAATACACAACACTCAGGGTATGTCCGGTACCACAGATGTATGCAGCATGTTTCTGCAAGCAGGAAAGCCGTTTGGTGCTTAGATCTTGGTAAAGACAGGCTAAGAGAGCTTACGTTGCAGGAAATTCATGTACAGTGACGTGAAAATACCCAAGTCACTGTTGGAAGCAAGACTAGGTTTTAAGGGTCCTTTATGGGCAGAAAAATAGTTAAAACATAGGGAACTCAAAGCTGATGTTTTTATGATAGATTATGTCATACTAAATATTTTGATGAGAAGCTGAATGTGGAAGGATCAGGTGGATTTCAGTGTGTTTTATGACTATTTATGCCAGTCCTGTAAAAGAGCTGAATTCCCCTCTCAATCCCCCTTTTTCCAATCCTTAGGAAAGGGCTGCAACAAACACTACTCATCCAACCACTTCCTCTGTTGTAGTACCAGAATATCTCTGAAGAATCTCTTTTGAAGAATTCTAAGAGGGAATAGCAGCAGTAATCAGGCAGGAAGCGCTACTAATTCTCTTCTGATTTCAGTAACTTGAGGATATAAACTGTGATTGCCTTTTGGTTGCAGCAGGTTGTAGGAAACTCTTTAAGCCTTGTTGCTGAAAGCCTTTACTGGGCTTCATTGATGTGAATTTCACTAACTTAGAATGGGGAAACAATAGTTTGCTTCCTCTTCTGCACAAACTAAATGTTCTGAGGAAAGCTGCTCTCTGAGACCTGGACTGTTCATCATAGAGCATAGTTCTAAGAGGAAATAAGAGAACTAGCAGGCTTTTTTTTTTTTTCCCAGTTCAGTGTCATTGTCTTCATTGCTCAGCAAAACCTGCAGTACATGCAGATGTCTCTTTATTTCAGCCTCATATGGGCTATCAAAATTCTATTGTGTGGAATAGCCATGGTGGTTTTATGCCACCTGCTTGTCAATAAAGCAAAGAGGTTACTGCAGAAGCCTTTACAGTTTAAGACTCAGTAGTTAGATGTAGGCAGTGCTAAATGGGTCTTTATCTTTCATATAATATCTTTGCAAGATAGTTTTGTTGGGGCTAATAAATCCATTTTATTCTTTTTTTCCCTTTCAGGCAATAAAAATGACAGCTGCAAATCAGTGTCTTGTTGGACCTGGAGATTTTCAGGGGCCGTTTCAACTGGATATTGATATTTGTGGACTGATATTCACCCATCATCCCTGTTTTAGCCGTGAGCATGTGTTAGCAGCTAAATTGGCTCAGTTATATGATCAGTATTTAGCAAGAAAACAGAAGAATCTTACCAAACTTCTCACGGACAAGGTATTTCTGTTTCATCATCGTAGCTTATTGAGATAAACATGTGACAGTTTAGGTAAAAGCTGAATTTGTTTCTTCAGAGCAGAGTGATGAAATTCTAGTTGTATGTGATGAATGGTGTTCTGTCAGAAGTTAAACCTTAGTGTTTCACCCAAGTTGCTGTACGTTCAGTGCAGACCTGCATTTTTAAGATAATGAATTTCTTTGATGCTCTGTTTAAAATGAGCTCTATGCAGGTTTTGAGGTAAAGTAAATGTAATTAGGAGTACAATAACATGTACGTAGCATTTTGTGGAGTATCAAAAACATTTTCAGTTGAATGACAGGTAAGACTTGACAGGATTGTGTAGAGCAACTCTGACAAGCAGACGGCAAAATACAGCATTGAAGGATGGAGGAGAGTTAGTGAAGTTTACTTCAGTTGATTAAAAGTAAAAGGAAGCAGTTTAATTTTGCTAAATTCTATGGAAGTTAATAACCCATTTCCAGGTCTGTATCTGGGACAATGCCATGTTTTAAATGCATACTCTTGTCACATTTACTGTGTCACTTTTGTGACATGGCAAAACCCCAGGCTGAATGTAGATTCTTTGTTCCTGGCTCTGTTCCTGATTTGCTGGATTGACCTTGGCTGGGCTGCTCTCCCTCTGCATCTCATCACTCTTCCTTCATCTACACCCTGGGAGTAAAGGTGGTAGTAATACCTGGTGTAAATTTGTGTGTAGACATTAGGCATTCTTAGTACAATTCTAATGTCAGGGTGCACAAGAAGATTTCTGCAGCATTTTTAAATGCTGCAGAAATGTGAAAAGATAACAGCTCTTTAGAAATGTGAGGTAAATATTGTGATATGACTTAGCTCTTTGTAGTAGGACTGGTCTGTTAAAAATGAGTTAAGTACACGTGAACTCAGATTTCCGTAAGGTGAAAATAATCTTTGTATGCAAGATCATTTTTTATTAGTTTAATGAAGATCAGTAGGTGCTGTACAGATATTTCTGGATTTTGGTATAAAGCATTGGTTCTAATGACAGACAGTGTCTCAAAATAATTCTTTGGTTTACTTTAGCTGGCAATTACTTATGAAGGACTGGCTTTAGTTTTCCATGAAATGGTGAAATAGGACATTTGGGATCTCCCTGTGAGCATTACAGGAACCTGTGTGTGGAAGAAATTTCCTGAGTGTTTCCACAACACGTTGGCAGTATTGTACACACTTACGTAATATGTTTTTCATAAACGGATTTTAACAATTATATATTTTAGCCACCATTCTGCTACCGACAGGCAGTTTTAAAACCTGTCTCCTCTAACAGTCATTATTTAATGGCCAGATTGTTGCAGACAAGTTATTCTTAAGCCTAAACAACTCTTCCTCTCTTTTCCCCTCCCTCCCTGCCATGTCCACTCAGTGAACTTTTTGTCTGTTTCTGATGTTGCTTTGTGTCTTAAAATATAACACCTTCCAGTCCCCCTTTTGGCAGGCTAAAAAAAAATGCACTTTCTGCTTCTTTTTATAAAACATGCTCTCTGTGCCCCAGATGTTGCTAGCAGCTTGTGATGTGTTGATTTATTCTTTTTTTCAAAATGCCCTCAACATCTTTTTTTATATCAGTGAGTTTCATTTTGTGGCTGCCCGTGTACATTATCAGCTGTATGCTTCCTACTCTCCAGTTGTATCACCTCTCCAGTTTGATGGATTTGTTTAAAAAAACATTTGCTCTTTGATTTGTAACTTCTTTGCCTCTGCTTGAGCTGTACTTGCTTTCATCTCAGGTAGTGCCATTAGCCATTCTGGTTTTACAGTCAGTATTTTTCTTAAGGAGATCTACAGCAACATGATAACTGAAATTTTAGTTCCTATCCTATGGCTGTTCCCTATTTTTCTGTCTTTCCGTGGCCAGACGTTTACATTCTCTTGTCTTCACAGACATGTATATTTTTGCGTTCTCTTAAACTAGGTATCCACCTTCCATGTAATCATTTGAAATCTGTCTTCAAATCTTGCTTGAAGGGATGGCCTTGTATCTCATGAGTGTGACTTCAAAAGTGCGTTTGAACTGTACCATTGTTCCCATTTCTGTCTCATCATTAGACTTCTTCCAGTTGTTACATGTAATATATTGTGTGTAAATGCTTTGTTATAAGGTGCCCAGCTTCATCAAGTCCGTGGTCCACTCATTTTTGTTGGTTTATTGATTTTTTCTAGTGTTACCTTAAGTGGCCTTTCCTAGTCCCCTAAAAAAACTTAATTAGAAGGTGGGGTTTTTTGGCAGGCTTGCTTTACTTATCTGCCCTTTTGATTCCTGAGCTTTTAGAATAATCCTTAGATCAGTCTTTCTGCCTTGTTTAAATCTGTCACAGTGATCAAAGCCATTGAGTATCCCTCATATATCCAGGGATCCTAATTAGAATTTTATCTTGAGGAATCAGTACCTCCCAGATGTGGCAAAACTCTGTAAATACAGAATTGAGACAATTTGGGGGTTTTCTGTTATGTAGTAACTAGCTCTTTCATGTCAAGGCACATTACACTGTGTGCCTCATAAATGTCAAAGCTTCTGTTAATTGTTTGTTTGTTCGTTTAAGCTGCATGCTTTGAGGCATGCCGTGCAAACTAGTATAGACAGTGGTGGTGCTGGTGTTCCTAGACCTGTGACACAACAGAGCATACCTGAATACAAGACTGAGATCAGGTAGGTATGGTTTCAGTGGTTTTGAAAACTGTATCTCTTTTTTCCTTTTCATACTGGTACAGAATATGATTCATATTGGACATATATTCTGTTGTAAATAGCTCTAGAATAGAGTTTCAAGGGGTTAAGAGTTCTGACTGATAAGTAAAAAAATTCTGAAGGTAATACAGTGTAGGCTGAAATCTTGATTCAGAATTGATCTAATTTGATTACCTTTTATTAATTACTTAGTAGCTATTTACCTGTGTTTTCTACACAATTAAAATTTAATTAAAATAAGGTTTCAGTAGACATCAACTGAATGCATGAAGCTCTCACAGCAATGCAAGTGACAGAATTTTTTTGAATAGACAAATCGCCTATTTTTTTCCACCATCTTTCTTGTTACACAAGTGTTCTTGATTCGCTTCCCATTCTTAGGTATTTGGCCATGTTCTGCCAATGGGTTAATATTTTTGTTTTAGAAGATTACTTTTATTGTTCTTGGACAGTAATTGAGTTGTAAAAATATATTACAGTGTTTGGCTTGGTAGTGAAAGTTAGTATTATTTTTGGCAGGTGGCCTGGTGAGATATAAGTGTAAGCAGTATGATAAAAATTAAGTTATTTTGGAGATTCATGCTGAACAGCCTTTTAACTAGTAGGTAACTTAAAAATCTCAAAGGTTTTCACAATGTGAAAGTAGGCAATAGTGTATTAATATAAATAAACAGAAATTGAGACCAATGTAATGGGTCACATGGTACTACAATATTTTTTGGAAAAAAATGATTTTTTGAAAAGTAATTCTACTTTCAGCCCTGAAATCTATGTCTGCTTACACTTGCACATCCACATGCTACTCCTAGTTCAGGAATTGGTCCTTCATATCCTTCAAGTATGCTGTATTGGTATCTCTGCAGGACATACTGAAGTCTATACTGTATTATTCTGAAGGACAAAGTTTTCTCCCATTGAAAATGGAGTAGCTTTTATTAATATTTTCTTAATACACATGCTAGAGGGCCAGGAGCAGGAAGTGTGCGGTTACCACATGGTACCGTGGAGACAGCACCTCTCAACAGGGAGGAAAACGTGAGAAGAAGAATGAGAAGTTTCACTGTGGGAATGAGAATCTTGGGTTTTGGCATCAACCTCAAGGGACTGCCTGATGGTTGATTCTAGCCAGAAAGAATATTCCTTCTGGGTATCTTAAGTGTTTTTCTAGGTCTTGAGTGCTTTGGTTTACTGTCACACTATGATTCAGGAGACACTTAGCTGAAATCAGTGAGATCAGTGTTGCGTAAGTAATGTGAGATGATCTTGGCTGAGATTATTCCAGGACTTTTCATATCGGTAATTCTTTCTGGCTGCAGCTCTGTTGTTGGAAGCTGTTACACATATGAGGCTCAGATGGGCTCAGGAATTTTTACTGTCATGGTGTTTAGTACTAAGTTGGACCATGTCTGTTGGTAAAAACGTCTGACCTGCCTTGTCTTTTTTATCTTTGTATTTCCCTGATGATCAGTGTAATACACTCATGAGAAATTACAGATGTGAAGAAAGTGTAGCATGGAAAATAATCCAATTGTTTCCTCCTCCCTCTAATAACATAACTGATGTTTACTCTTCACTGTCTGAGGATCAGAGCTATAGTTTTCCATCAGTTTGAGGAAGAAGTGCCATCTGAATACAGAAAAATTTTGCAAATTAGCAGTTTTAGCCATCCTGTCCTCATTTGGTAAGGAGGAAGCCAATGTGTGGTGCAGACTTCAGGTTTCAGCGGTGATTCTCTACTCAAAGGTCCTACTTCCAAATTGAATATATTACTGACCTATATGTTCCTCATGTCTTTAAGCTCAATTTTCTAACTTCCTCTGGTAGACAAAAAAGAAAAGGTTGTTAAGGTGCATGGATAAGTAAGACTCAGACTGCTAGCCAATGATGTGGAGAAGTTATTTGTTGCTTTCTGGAAAGTCTATTTCTTCTTTGTTTATTGTGTTTACTAAATTTGCTTATGCTTTTAGATAACATGTAATGTATTTCTGCTCTGTAACTCAGCCTCCCTGTCTTCCAGATTCTCTGAATATTACAAGTAGTAATGTGGCAGTGTGCATCTTTTTATTATTTTTAATCACATTATTTTTACTAGATGTGTTTAGCTACCAAGATAGTATTGGAAACAGTCTGTACTTGTGCTGCAAAGACATTTACATTGGAAGTGTGTGTTGGTCATTAGAAATGCTAATGAATAGCTCTTTTGAAAATGGATTAGAGGGTGGAAATGTTAAATGCAAATTCTGAGGCAAAAACCAAAAGCCCTGTTAATCTTATTTGTGTTAAGAATTTTTCGGGGCTGTCAAAGGACTTGCATTACTTCATACATTACTACATTACTTCATCTCTGCAAGCCCTTTTTGCTGGAGCTAGAAACATGTTAATTTTAAAACCTATTTTGTAATGCACGGTTATAATAAGCATTACTTCATAGCAGCAGTGTAGGTTTCCTGGGCTCTTGTTTATATGAATTGACTTAAAAATGTTTTTAATGATGTACAGCTGTAATAAGCATTTCAGAAAACTTTGAGCTGTCCAGAGAATGGACTCTAATTGAATTCAGATTGTCCAAAATGCAAGAGACTAGACTACAGAAGGAAATCAGATCCTGCCATCTTCACATCTGGGTTTTATGCTCCTTGGATTTAAACCACTGCAGCCATCAATCAGATTGAAACCCATGTCGCTTAGGTTTGGTATCACAAATTTTCACTCTATTATTCCACAGAGTTATACAATTCTGATGGTTTTGTGCATATGTGTGTTTATTTCTAGGCAAACTAGAAGACTTCGTGATGCTGAACAAGAAAAAGACAGAACGTTGCTTAAGACCATTATAAAAGTTTGGAAACAAATGAAATCCCTCCGTGACTTTCAAAAGTTTACTAACACACCCATAAAACTTTATCTGAGGAAGTATGTCTTGATAACACTTTTTTATTTTTGTTTGCCAGTAGTTTTAATAAGGTAGTCAATTTGGGAACTTAAAATTCTGATATCAAGGATTTGCAAGTAAGAATTTGAGTAGTGTCTGGCACTGGTCAAGCCTACCACTGTTCTTTATTTGTTTGGGTAGGAGGGAAGGTTAAAATATCAAGTAGTTACTGTAACAAAGGATTTTCTACAGGCTAATGAGTAAAGAAAAATTATATTCATTCTGTATGGTAGCTACATACTATCAACTCTTGGACTACGTATGCTAGTATTTTTAAATAGAACACACTTCTGATATAATGAAATTAATTCATGGAGAAGTAGACTTATATATTATAGACTTAATTGTTGCCTTTTGTGTTAATCTATGCAACATGTCGATAACTTGTTTTGAAGGGAAGAAGTTGATCAGAGATTGGATGAAAAAGCATATGAAGCAGAAATTCAGGCTGAGATAAATGAATTACTGGAAGAATATGTGGAAGAATATGAAAAGAAAAAGGAAGAGTATAAAACTGAGCTACAGGAATGGAAATCCTGGAAGAAGTCACAGGTTTGTTTAAAGCATTGAGTTTCACAAAAAAAAATATAAATGCTATTAAACGTGCTGAAAATTTGTCCTTCTAATACAGAAAAAAAATCAGTTTTGGATTAATTAGGCATCAATTTTGTAATGTGTTTGGATACATTCTGTCCACTTAAAATTTGTTAGTAAATTAATTGTTAATTAAAAAATGTAAACGTGCTGAGTTTTTGCAAAGCATTGTCTTCTTGCTGTTGATTTTTAGCACTTCAGCAGTTCTTTCTTTAAATGTAATAGTTTTGCAGCATTCAGATTAAATTCATGTCCTTCTTGCAAAGTAGAAGCATGGATGAATTGTGTATGAGCGGTGAAACAAAATAATTATAGGGTGTTTCTAATGAACAACAGTTGATGTCATCTCGTAAATTCATGTTCAGGAGTGTCGTCTAACTGAAAAATCTAATATTCCAGCCGCTTTACCTCTGAAAAGCTTTATTGCTAATAACCTGAGCTGTAGTTAAGGTCTCAGTTATGCTTCGAGGGGAGAGTGACAAATAGAAGAGCTGGAACAATGTGCTACAACGGGACGAGCTTTGCAATGGCCTGTGGCAGTGCCCGCAAAAGCAGCTTTGCTTTCTTAGTGACCTGCCGAGGTACCGCACACCTCAGGGTAGTGGTGAGAGTACTTGGGTATAGTTACTGCCCAGCTTGAATCCTGTGGGTTTTTGGTTACTAAAGCAAAAATTAAGTTTAAGGACGTGTTACAGTTTTCAAGAATCTAGTGAGTCTGCTGATACTTTCATGGAAAGTTGATGGATTTTTTTATGTGCACACAGTGTCCATGGAAGGCATTTAAAACGTATGAAAGGAAGCGAATCTGCAGGTATTGGAAATTCCTGTTATCAGAACATAAGTGGGCACATGTCTCACTAGTATCACGCCAGTTCACTTGTAGGATAAGATGAATAAATGTAAACATTAAAAAAAGAGACAGGTAGTCTTGAGCATTGATCCTAATGGAAACTGTTCATGTACCTCCAGCCAGTTATGCCTTCATAAATACCATTGGGGGGTGGTTCTAGCTAAAGGTCCTCTCAGCCTCTTTTTATTGTGTTAGCTACAAGCTGTCTTGAGACTGAGGATCATGCTCTCAGAGTGAAATAGGTTGTCCAAAAGCGCTTTATTGTAATTTACTCAAAGTACTTTTTTGGTTAATTGTTGCTGTTGATATCTTACTAGAGCAGATCCTGTGGATCTAAGCAAGGCACTAGAGGCAGAAGATACTAGATAAATTTAGGAGGAAACACAAGAGCAAAAAGAATAAAATAAAGTTAGGCCAAGAAAGAATAAATATTTATTAATAGAACTAAAGAATATTTATTAAAAAAAAATAGATGAGCACATTATTTGCTTAAATACGTAAGTTAGTGAGGAGAAACTGTTAGGTTTCCTCACCTCATCCCCTTTTGCTTACAGTGTCTTAAATCATGAAATGGTCAGTGCTTCAAAGCAAGGCCTTATTTCCAAGTCTGTGGAAGGAGGACATTGCTTGCAGTTGTTTAAAGCTGAACATGCACATGAACACGAGTTCTCTTTGGCATAGAAGGAGGGGATCATTCTGCTTCTGCTAAAAGATACTGCTCAGCTAAAAACCTTGTGCTCCAAAGTTTGTGGCACATGTGCATTCCCTTTGTCAACGTGTATGCAGACAATACATCTCAAAGGACTTTGTCTACTGGTTGGGTAACCTTCCTTCAACCCTGACATAATACGCTTGGTGAGTCAGGCTAAATGAGAATTCAGCTGCTAGCCAGAACATTCAAGAAATGTGTTTATTTTATAAGTTGGGAAGGTAAAATGAATGTTTTGTTTGAAGCACATTTTTGTGGAAGCATATGAATGGCATGTACTCCTGAATTCTGAATCTGAAATAGTACTGCAGAATGAGAGAAATCTTATTTTTGTGTGTGGCAATTTTAAAATGATACAGTCATGTCTCGTATGTTTATCACTTGTGAATCATGAGAACAAGAGGAAGAAAAACCTCCAGATTGAAACAAGTTCAGGAAGAACATTATTATTTTTATATGCAGAAGTCCAAAAAGAAAAAGAAGAAAACAGACATTCATGAAGAAGAAGAATCATTAGAAGATTTTGATCATGATGAGGAACGTGTAAAACCTGTCCCACCTAAAATGGCCAGTAGCCTGGAAATAGAGCAGCAGGTTAGAGAAAAAGCTGACAACTGCAGAAGGAAACCTGGAGAGCCAGTTCTAATTCCTGAACTGGTCCTGTCGGGAAGTGTAACTCCAACTGAGCTGTGTCCTCGGTAAGATAAATGTCGGCATGCAAATTAGATTGTTTGTGATTTTCTGCTGTAATTTATTAACAAATTCAGAAGCATGTGCTCACTGTTCTGCTTAGCCTAGTGATAAAACTTCTGCTTCAGAAGCTAATATAACTTAATTTGTTTTCAGTTCACATGTAATCTTGTATGTGGTGGGTTTGGAGAATGCATGTCTACAAATTTATTTCCTTGAACCTTCTGCTGGCCGTTGAGCATCTGTGTAGAACAGAGGTGTATAGATAAAGAAGCTGTTTGCAGTGCAGAGTCTAAGTCACTTCTGGCAGTACCACTCTCTCCAGCTAGCCCTTTACACCAGGTCTGTGCTGTAGTCAACAAAGGGAAAATAAAGAAGTTGTGCAGTTAACCAGAGATTTCACCGTGGCTAAAATAAATACATTTACTTGTTTGTATTACTTTCCACATTTGCACATGTAATTTCAATATATCTAGCTGATTTTAGTAATATAAAACCTACTTTGTTTAATACTCATTCAGCAAATAGCCTCAGCAAGGTATATTGCTTGGCTATTTTACTCCCAATGAGTAAAAACTTCAAACTCTTAACTCAGTTTGGTATCATTTGTTGTGCTTTGGAGGAAGGGAGTAGAAGGGAATTTTGTTTCCCTAAATAACTCCTTTGATACGGAGGTGGCTTTAGTGGATCAAAAATTTGACCCGTTCATTTTTAAGTGATTTTCTATTCAAGAGAAGATAAAGCAACTGTTAAATAATAGTTTTAAGGTCATTCTTATGTAATGACATTTTTAGAAGAATACTATCTTCATTTACATAACTTCATTTACATAACTTCTATTTCCCCTTGAGGAGTCAGATTCTTAATAAAAATAGCCAAAGAATAAAAATGTTATTTAAAAATTATATGATGGCTTGTCTGATGTATTTACAGAGCAGAAGTTTTGCGACGAGAAGATGTGAAGAAACGCTCAGTGTTTATAAAAGTCCTTTTCAACTCCAAAGAAGTATCAAGGACTGTTACCAGACCAATAAGTTCAGATTTCAGAGTTCACTTTGGACAGATTTTCAATTTACAAATATTCAACTGGCCAGAAAGTTTGAAACTACAGGTAGATAACGATTTGTCATAGTAACTTTTTAAAAGATAAAAGGATAATATGAAATGTAATTAGTCCTGTAATATTTGTATTTTGGTCTGTGGTAGTGTTGTAAAGACTGAAAATCATGTGAAAGACTCGTCAATCGTTATACCCTTTCCTTGCTTCTCCAGTCACAAACTTTTAATTTTACTGCTACATTTTTAATGTTTGCGCTTGTTTATATATATGTGTGTGTGTGTGTGTGTGTTACATATAATGTGACTCTGGGCTGCATGGGGGAAATTAAATAATTGGGACATGTGATTAAATGTTGGAGGAGCAGCCTCTTAATTTTAGCAAAATTGATTCATATTGCAGATAAACTTGCCAAAATGGTCTTCCTAAAACATTACTGTCCACACTGTAAAATCGTTGTAATGTTTGCTGGAAGGGTATATGAAAATATTCGTTGCTCATCAGGTCCATAACTGTACTACAGCAACAGTGCAGTTAAGTCAAAGCACCCCCACCCCATCCCGAGTGTGAATTAATGAATGAGTTGCATGAATAATTTTCAGAGCCAATGCAATATATTTTTAGCAGGAATAGGGCCAGGATCCAACTTCTGTTAGATGACTTTTCCTGTTGGGTAATTTACCACTGGTGGTTCAGGGGAGGGTGCTCAATTAATGTAACACACATATCGAAAGGAAAAAGGAATACCATTTCTTGGATTAAAAATATCCAAATGGGGAAATCAGTCGCATCACTCTGAGCTTGTAGCTGGCCGGGAACGAGGGAAGCAGGCTGCAGTCCTGCCAGGATGGGGACTCTGTGCCTTACCCTGCTTTTTGTGCAAAGGGGGAATTAGTGAGGCACAGTCGCTCTGGCATCTTCATCTGATGCCAGGGACTGTCACAAGCAGTTCCATATTGTATAGTGATGCTCTTTAAAGCCCAGAGTTTGTTGTGAGAAGGGAACACTTTGAAGAAAAAATCAGCCAAGTTAGCTGCTGGCAGCTGAAATGTCTGCTAATCGGATATTATAGAAAGTAAATGAATACAATCACCTTAAATGAATTATTTCATGCTTAAGTCATAGTAAAACATTTTGTCCCTATAATATGTTTTCAACTTCTCATGAATACATGTGTAAATTTTTTTGTTAAGTCTTTCACCATGTTTTTTCCTAGATATATGAAACGATGGGTATGAGCAGTACTACCTTGTTGGCTGAAGTGTTCATACCTGTTCCTGAGACCACAGTTCTGACAGGCAATGCTCCTATGGAAGAAATAGAGTTCAGCAGCAATCAGCGTGTGAACTTGGACCATGAAGGAGTTGGGAGTGGTAGGGACTTTCAGTCCTTCTCAGTTCAATGTTTCTCATTTTGCTGAAGCCACGTAGCAGTAACAGGCTGCCATAAGTTTCAGAGTAAATTATGTTAAGAGCATTTATAGCTTCTGTAACCGAATCTTATAAAATAGTCATGATTCTTATTATTCAGGTTTGCTGTGGAATTTTTGTCTTCTCATTTTAAGCTGTGTACAATAAAAATGTGCGTATTTATTATTTGGGTTGTAGTACTAGCTATAGAAGGAGTTTGGGTGTTTTTCTAGTATTTAATCAGGCCTCTGACTGCAGAGCAAGCAGGTGGTATTAATCAGTACAGCTCTGATGATTTTCATGTTTTAAACAATTGAAGAACTGGCTGTGTAAGTGTATATGTAGAGTAACTTTTTGTCTTCCTATTTGCTTTGCTGAAATCCTGCAACACATTTTATCCCTGGGACTTTAGAAAGATAAAACAAGGAAGAGATAGGAAAAGGGGAAACAAGAATAATATGTAGTAGAATATGGAACTTTCAAGTTTATTTAAGAAGTTTGAACAGCATTATGAGATGACTGGCGTAAATTTGTCATATATGAAATGCAGATCAAGCTTTAGCAGAAGAATTGTTAAACTGTGGAAGAAAGAAATATAAAAAATCATTGCAACAAATATGTGTGTCAGTGTCACTGACCATGAGGTATATACAATTGTGTATCACAAAGCTTTAGGACTGATTTTTCAGTCAGCCATAATTCTTTTGACTCTGAATTTCTGTTTCATTAATCATCGTCATGGCTGGGCTTCACAAATGAAGATATGGGAAGGGCTCTACCCACACTTGCTACAAGCGCGCTGATGGCTAGAAAGGCCGATGCGGGATGGGCAAGTCCAGTTGCAAAAGGCACAGCGGAAAGTCTCCTTAGGCGGTATCGGCGAGGCACGGTTCTTTCTGCGTTGTCTTTTCTCCTCGAGACTAATTCTACGTGTGTTCTCAAAGGAGGCAGCAGCGTTATGGATGGTGTGTCTCCCCGTGTCCCGATTGGAGGCCACAATAGTGTGAAGGGGAAAAAAAAGAAAAAAAGCCTTTGGCGTAGCTTTCAAGATATAGCCTTTCCTTCCAGCCCACATGGAAAGCCTTTCTGTAGGTGGGATGAAACCTTCACTCCTTTTGTGGAGCAGAACCCTTCCCCACAGCATGCAATGGAGTCAAGTTTTTTCACATCGCCCCATTTATATAAAAACACAGCTTATTTGACTACTTACTTTCAGAAAGTATTTTTAAAAATGTTTAGACACTGTGTTTGAATGCATAAATATACTAATATGGGTTTGTTTTTTTCCTCCCTCAATAGGTGTGTCCTTTTCATTTGAAGCTGATGGTAGCAACAGAATGAGTTTAATGACCTCTGGCAAAGTATCCAATAGTGTCTCTTGGGCAGTTGGAGAAAAAGGAATCCCCTTAATTCCTCCAGTATCTCAACAAAGCACAGGCATTTCAAGGTAATATGATATGAATTTTCAGTAATTCATGGTGAACTGATTATGCAAGTATTTTAAAAAACCCCTCAGATTTTCATAATCAAGAATTTTCACAGTCTTTTTCCCTAAGTTTAGATACTTTACTTTGTGCTGTAACCCCCTGCAGATATCTTAAAGCACACACTTTTGGCAAACAGATTTTGGTTAGAGATTTTATTTTTTAATATATTATTTATAGACAACTCATGCTGAATAACTCATTTTTATGATTTTCTAGTAGGAGACTATTTATCATCTTACTTCTAGTAAAAAGCAACATGGAATCGTGTAGGTGTGTTGTAAGTGTATCTGTAAGCACCTTAGTACCTTATACAAAAGCTTTCTTGGACCAGTTCCTTCATATTTCCACTTTACTTCCCTTTGCAGTCCTCCATTCCCTCAGCTGTGTAGCTACAACTCAGAATTACTTGGTGGAATTTGCTATTCAGGTTGTGGGGAGCATTCTGGTTTTTTCTAAGATTGTTTTAAATACGGTTTTTATGCTGCTAAATCATGTGTTTTAGGTATCAGTTCTGTCAATTCTGTCTTTTTAGTGCTTTAAAAAATATTGATGCTATTGCATCCATTGGCACATCAGGCTTAACTGACATGAAGAAACTAGCAAAGTGGGCAGAGGAAGCAAAACTTGATCCAAATGACCCAAACAATGCAGCTCTGATGCAGCTGATCATGGTAAGTGGCTTTTGCAGAGCTGTAGTGGAGCTGTGAGACTCCTAGTCACCAGTACCTTCTCTGGCAATCTGCATGCATGCCAGTGAGACAGTAGCATTTGAATTTGTCTGCTAATGCCTGCTAAAAATGTCCTCTAAAAATGTGATTTATTAATGTATTCAGTAGAGTTCTAGTGGTATAAGGGAATACACAAAGTTTAAAAATACAGATTTTGAGTTTGTTGTTTTCTAAAGTGCAGGGGTATTCCCACTGTACTGGTATAATATTAAATAGGAGGTTGCTCGTTAGTGATAATTGCACAAAGAGGACTAGTGTGCTCTAGAAGTTGGGACTTGTCTAAACATCAAGTTGGAGGAGCTATTTACATAGCTGAAGTTGTATAAATGAACAGTGTTCACAGTGTAGCTTCCTAGGTTACATTGTCATACTATACTTTTCCTACTCTTTAATCATAGAATCATAGAATATTAGTGATCTGAAGGGACTTCTAGAGATCATCTAGTCCAACCCCCCTGCCAGAGCAGGATCCCCTAGCACAGGTCACACAGGAACACATCTGGATGGTTTTGAAAGTCTCCAGAGAAGGAGACTCCACAACCTCTCTGGGCAGCCTGTGCCAGTGCTCTGTCACCCTCACAGTCAAGAAGTTTCTCCTCGTGTTGAGGCGGAACTTCCTGTGTTCTAACTTTAACCCACTCTTCCTTGTTCTATTGCTGGGCACCACTGTGAAGAAATTGACTCCTTCCTCTTGACACCCACCCCTCAGATATTTGTATACATTAATAAGACCCCCTTTCAGCCTTCTCTTTTCAAGACTGAACATTCCCAATTCTCTCAGTCTCTATTCATAGGGCAGAAAGGATCAAGTCCATTAATCATCATGTTTTGTTTATATTAGGAGGTAATGGAATTTTACTGTATTCTTAAATATATAATCTCATATACTTTGCTCAGCAAAAACTTACTTAGTGTTTCAGGCTCTGAGATCCATCTCAATTGCTTTTGCTTAAAATGAACGTCCTACCAATGTGCATGTAAGACAGAAGTTGTTTTATAGACCTGTCACTTTGCATGAAAATGTTAATTTTTGGACTAATTTAGGTTGCTACAAGTGGAGAGGCACGCGTTCCTGATTTCTTCAGGTTGGAGCAGCTGCAGCAAGAATTTAATTTTGTTTCTGATGAGGAATTTAACAGATCAAAGAGATTCCGACTCTTGCAGCTCAGAAATGAGGAGGTGACAGAATTCCGAAACTATAAGCAAGTCCCTTTGCATGAACGAGAAATCAGTGAGAAAATCTTCCAGGTAGATTGTTAACCGAAATATTTTTTTTCTAGTTTTAATGCTAATAATATTTGACTTGCGATTAAGTCAGTTGGTGCCTTAAAGAATGTACAGCTACACTGATGTGTAGAAAATGACAATTCTATTGCTTCAGTCATTTCCACAGTGATACTGTGGAAAGAGAAAAATAGATCACAGCAACTGCTGTAGACACAAATGTTCTAAGAAGAGAGTTTTTTAAAGGTAAGAGACACTTTTGGTGTTTTTTTTTTAAAGTGATTTCAAATATAGAAGGATAATGCAAAGATAATACTGGCTTAGGCTTATTAACTTCTGAGCCCTTTCTGTGGAGACTGCTGGAAGCAATGACTCTGAAGAGAATTAAAACCTTTTTATGTTGTACTACAGCCTATGTTGCAGTTATTTCTGCTTTAGTACGTTGTTCCAATTAGTTTACCCTGTCCTTGCCTGTCTGTTAATTACTTTAGTGAAATATGTGCATTTTTTATTTGGGTCATACTTCAATTATTTTAATCTCAACTCTTTTATTAGTGTTAAGTTGTGCATTCTTTTTGTTCTTTGGCAGTTCATGTAGCTGAAGAGCATTTTAGTGTGTTCACAGCCTTAGGAGGATCATAATCATCTCAGATTCTGCTGCTTTACCCTTACTTCTAATTACATAAATTTCTTTGAAAAACTCCTTTCTTCCATTTTTTTTGATTATATCTTTTTTTAAAGGTATTTATTAGTTCAGTCATGTCTGGCTCTTTACAATAAGATTTTTCCATTTTAATTTTAGATTAGTTTTATTTAAAAATGTGCCACATCTTTGATATACGTTCTTGATCCAGCTAATTGTATGGAGCTATGTTCACTTCAAGTTATCATTCAGAATTGAAAGCCATAGTTTAAGAATTGTTTTAGTTGGTTTTTTTTTTCCATTAAGGGTAAATTGGATAAGCACATGATTACCTATTCCAAGTTCATTTTTATTTGACAAGATTTTCAAAATTAAGTTTAAAGTGGTATTGTTCCTAGTTCATTCACTAGCTATTTGGCAAAGAAGTCTGAAAATTCATAGAATTGTGGAAATATGGTTTGGAAAATATTGTCTGGAGGTCATCTAGTCCTGCTTTCCACTGAAGTGGTGGGACTTTTGCCAGCATGAGATGAGGTCAGCTGTGTATTTGTCTAGCCAAGTCTTGAAAACCTCTAAATGGGAGATGCCACAGCATTTCTGCGTAACCTGTTCCAGTGCTGCACTATCCTTCCAGTGATTATTAAAAAAAAAATTTAAAATAAAAAAAAATCTATCATTCGTGTCCAATTTGGGCCTTCCAAGTTGTATTTAATGACTGTTTTCCCTTGTTTCATTGTCTGGAACTACAGAGATGAGTTTGGCACCCACTTCTTTGTAACTGCCCCTCAAATATTTGTGAGCAGGTACTGGATTGCTCATTAATCTCTTCCTCACCAGACTAATGAAGCTGAACACCATGTCCAGTGCCAGAAAGACACTGAAATACTGGAGCAAATCCAGCACAGAGGTACTAGAATAATAACGACAGGGCTGGCGAACTTGATGTACAAGGAGAGGCTGAAAGGACTGTTCTGGCCTAAGCCAAGGCCAAGGGGGTATCTTACTGCTTCCTTCAGATGATGCAGAGAAAACAGAGCAAGACTCATCTTAGAGGCAAGGTGATGATAGACATGTTACTCCCAAGAGAAATTCCAGTTAGATATAATGAAAATATTCTTTTAATGAGGTAAATATTTTTCTTTGAATGAATTAATTCTTGAATGGCATCAAAGAATGTATTCAAATTCTAGAACTCTTTGTCCAGGAATCTTATAGAATTGCCATCTCTAGAGGTACTGAAATATGAATTGGCAAAGACCCTGGGCATCCGTAATGCCCAGATTCTTTTCAATATGGTGTTCTGCTGGTTGCTTTTCAGTCTGTGCCAGCATGTGGCATTACTCCATCTTCAGTACAGAATTTTGCCTTTTCTTTATTCAGACTTCAGTTGTCATAGTCTTCAATTAGCAAGAGCCCTCTGAATTGTGGTTCAGTCATTTGTTGTATTAACCAGTCTTCCTAATCAAGTGTCACTGGTTGAATTGCTGACAGTGTGCTGTGTCTCCTCACCCAGTTCACTGGTGAAGATACAGAGTAATATTGGCCCTACAGCCAAGCCCAGGGGTGCTTTGCTACTTAGAGAACACGAGCTGGACATTGTGCTCTTGATCCTTACTGTTAGAGCTCAGTTGGCCATCCTGTTTTCAACCCAACAGGTGGTCCGTTCAGTCCACTCAAACCCATATTTCCTCAGGTTATCCCACCCCGTATATCCGAAGTAGTATCACTAACTGCTGATGGTGACATTTTCAGTCTATGTCCTATTGCTATTCCTAAATGAGAATTTCTGCAGTCGTACCTAAATCTGATAATGGAAGTTTCCTGCTGTTGTTTAACCATGGTAGGCAGTGAAGCATTACACTTCCTTTCTCCCTCCCATGCTGAACAGGGTCTCAGAGAATAGGTAGAGCAAAAGCAAGAAAATTCATGGGTTGCGCTAGTTTTATAAGCAAAGGAAAGAGGAAGAAGAAAGAAAAAACAAACAAAACCCAAGTAATGTAAAGGCACTTGCCGCCTCTCAGATGTAAACTGATTCCTAGCGAGTCTCTGAGCAATGGCTGCCTTCCCCCAAATCCCTTAACATTTTACTACTGATCATGATGTTACATAGCATGGAATAGCCCTTGGTGAGTTTGAGTTGACTGTTCCTGTTGTTTCCCCTCCCAAATTCTTGCACATCCCCAACCTGCTTGCTGCGTGTAAGCTGGAAAAAGAGGTGGTCTTGATACTGCGCGAGCATGTCTCAACCATAGTCAGAACGCTGGTGTGTTACCAACACCATTTTAGTCACAAATTCAAAACAGCATTGTACTGGGTGCTATGAAGAAGGTTAAGTCCATCCCAGCCGTGGAGTTAGGTCATGAAACTGTCATCTTTTTTTTCCCCTCTGTGGTGTTTCCCCAAGTGATGGTTTTATTTGTCCTCTTTGGTCTTTTTACAGTGCACAGTGCTAATGTGCAGTACTGCTATGAAATCTTCTTTTTATATTTTTGCCTCGTTGCATTCCTCGAAACAACTGACTCCATCATCTCTACCAGTGAACCCAGCAGCAGGGGCTGTAGATTTGGATAATCCGAGGCGTGCTGCGCTCATGGGCCAGCAGGATGTCTTGATACACTTACAGAGATAAAGCATCACAGGTGTCTTGGATCAGATGGGAACAGTTTGTTTGGCGTTCAGCACCAGAGTTGGGGCTAATCCGTCTGTATCTGAGTATTTGCTTTATCAGAAGCTTATGATCTTCTCCTTTTTCTTCTGGGAGTTCATTTAATGTCAACAGTTTACTAAGTTAACAAGTACTAATTAATGATTTGTGATAGTTAAAAGATATTGCAGTAAAAAGAATTCTGAAGGGAGCAATGCTTGTGCATGTACCCATTAGACGTTCAATTCCCATTATTGGACTTCTAGCTTAGTCATTACTTGAGCAGCCTGAAAAAATAAGATTTCTGGCTTGTGAGAGCTATTCTTATTTTATTTTGTTGATAATCTGAAGTAATTCAACACTTAATTATTAGGCACTGAAAAAGTTAGACAAAGATTTATTGTGGAAATAATGAAACATGTTTGCAGAATGTGCTTCCTGGTCCCTTTATATTAGGGAAAAATTATGTTCTTTTAACAACAGTAGGAAAATGACCCGAAGATTAATTTTACTGAGTAGCTTTTACATGATAACTAGCTGTGGTTCTAAAGCCAACCTGATGTGCAGACTGCCCTGGAGCTGTGGGTCCTGAGAGAGCTCCTGGCTCTGTGTTTTGCTTGGAAGCTGAGTGCCAGCTCTAGCCTTCTCTTAATTTATGAGATCCTTTCTAAGCTCGTGAGTAAAAATTGCATCCATCAGTCCAGCTCTCATTGTAGTCCACCAGAAGAGTAACCACAACCTTGAGAAATATTCTGTCGCCATACTTTTCCCCAAGAACCAAATACTTCTCCTAAATGTTTCCTTCTGGTTATAACCAGTATTCACCTCAGCCCCTCGGTTAGGCAATGGACACTTTTATCAAACCTCAGGCAAAGCCAGATCTTCATTCTGTCTGCTTAAAGGGCTTTCCCTTTTTCACAATATACAAACAAAAGGGTTTTTATTATGCTATTACATCTCTTTATTTCTTGAATATAACTTAAAAACAGCTCAGTAATTGTTTCTCCACAAACTCTCCCACAAGCTAGGGTTTCTTCTAGTGTTAAACACTCTGAAAACTAGTTTTATGTTAAAACATATAACATATAGCTAGAAACACAGTTGAGATTTCAGGTCCTCTGCCATGAATACTGCATCACTTATATTCATAAAGGATCCTTCCTACTGCAGTTGCATTAAGAGAAACCATTTCCAGTTCAAATGGAATTTCAGTTTACAGCAGCAGGTCAGAGCTCAGCTTTAAAAGAAGATAAGGAACTCTTCAAGTTATTCATAGTAATTTAAACCACATTAGTTTTGTAACTTAATGGAATTCTTGTCTCTACTCATGAAAGTTTAGCAATGCTATTGCTGTATGCATTAGCATTAAAAATAGGTTTATAAACCTCTGACATCTGTTTTGGTTTCCTGTGATCCATACATTAATATTAATGAAATGTTTACCATTTTTCTTGTATGTAATAAATCACTGAATATATATTGAATCACAAACTCTAGCAAATATCTTTAGGACTATGAGAAGAGACTGCAAGAGAGGGAGGTGATTGACAGCAAAAATTACCTAGATGCACACAGAGCAGTTGTTGCCAATTACCTACAGAAGGTAAGCTGTAAAAAGCACAGATCCACCATCTTTCTCTAGGCCATATGTTGCTTCTATACTTGGATGTTTTCTTTCCATGACTACTAAAGACTGGTTAATCTCTAAACATGACCCACAGACGTCTTTAAAATTCCAAGTTAAGCCTGAAACAAGTCTAATTGAACAAGTGCAGGTTTGTGAATGACTCATTTAATGTTATTATTAGGAAGAAGTTCTTCACCATGAGGGTGGTGAGACACTGGCACAGGTTGCCCAGAGAGGTAGTGGAAGCCCCATCCCTGGAAGTGCTCAAGGCCAGGCTGGATGGGGCTCTGAGCAGCCTGATCTAGTGGGAGATGTCCCTGTCCATGGCAGGGGAGTTGGAACTAGATGATCTTTAAGGTCTGTTCCAACTCTGACAATTCTGTGATTCTATGATGCAGAATGATGCAATATACAAAATGACTAGCCATTCTGGAATTTTCTACCAGTTCTGTAAATTTTTTGCTCCAGTGTCCCAGAGATTTGTATTGCTGTGTCCCAGGTATTCACCAATTTCCCTCTCCTCCCTGTTCTCATTCTTGCAAGCTATGATTCTAAGACCTTAATTAGCTCCATGAAAGTGGCCCTGACTGCTGTCAAAAATCATTTAATGCAATACACAGAGTTTCTTGCCCTGCAGCCTATGGCAGAGGGCAATATCTTCCATCACATTCCATTCGTTGTGGTATTAGATTAACACCTTCTGCCTCTTACCTCTATTTAATTTACTTTTCTAGTCTCTTCGTTCTCTTTAATCCTTAGGGGGAAAAAATGCAGGAAAACATTGGTCATATAACCAAGAGATGATAAGCTTGCAATTTCAGACTATTTTGGCAAAATTACAAGTGCAAAACATGGCTACCAGTTTATTACCAGTATTGGAAATATCTGAAAGTGTTTCAAATCCTGGCCAGCCAGCAAAACATGTAATGTGATGATAAGGTTGATTTGATGCAGAACGAAATAAATTGTCTATTAGAAAGAATGGTGTGTAAAAGAATCATAGACAGTGAAGTATGTAAATATCCCAGGCAAGTGCAAAAGCCTAGATTCAGTATCACAATATAAAAAAATGTTTTTAACAAAGATGTCATGTCTGTGTCAGCTCTGTATGATTTGCTTAGTATTATTTAAGAGTCTACTCAAGCATACCGTTTATGCAGCGCACTGAGTAATAGTATGGTAGTACTGAGTAACATACATTATGGTACCTTTGTTTTTTAGATTAAAGTAGCCTTTCTAAAACTATTTGGATATTCTACACTTTTATAAATTGTCAGATGTGCTTGAAAATTAGATTGCTCACATCAGAACTGAAATTCAGTTCACTCTTAAATGTGATTTTTATATGCCTGTCACTTCAACACAAAGGTATAATAAGAATAATAACTTAAAAACTTTTAAAAGCCACAAAAAGAGATGTATTGCAGAAGATGCTTATTGCTGTTCTGCAACCGATCTTGTAATATATAGTGTGTAGGGATTACCAGCGGTTAGTGGTAGGTAAAAAGGATAAAGGCAATGCTCTGTCAGTCTGCTTCCACTTAGTTATTTCATCTTCAGTCTGTGACCTCAGCATAGAAATGAAAGGAACTGAGGATTTTAAACATTTGAAGTCATAGTATTTGTAATACAGCATTCATCAGTTATTCTGCAGTCCAAATTGTTGCTTTTATTCCCCATAACTAATATCATATAGCTTTTTCTACAGCCTTTTCTGCAACCTTAGTTATACGTGGAAAAGCGATGCCTGTTGTTTCTGATGATGCGCTGTAACCAGATAAGACTCTGTTTTCTGATTGTCTGGTTTCATATGTTCTCACATCTGGCTAGGCAGCATGTTTCTAGAGATTCATTCTATTTGTAAAATGAGCCTATGTTATATTCTGAAGAAATACCTGGTGGAAATAAACCTTTCCTTGGACCATGACTATTTTAAAAGTGGGGAAAAAAATTAAAGAATGTATATTTGGACATTTTTTATGTGTATAATAGGTGGAACACACGTATTTGCAGTGGGTTTGGATTAGAAATGTGCTTTTATGTCTTCTCCTTCCCCATCCACAGGTTCGAGAATCAGTAATAAACCGTTTCCTCATAGCGAAACACCATTTCATTCTCTCTGACCTTGTCAATGAAGAGGAGATTCCCAGCCTGGGGTAATGGAACTATCTTTATTTGCTCTAAATTAAAATAATAAATGTAATAACATCTCTGATTTTTTTTATTTTTGCAAAGTGTATCAGTGTGACTAACTGCCTTTTCATTTAGTATAATATATAAACTTCCAATCACTATGTACCCCTCTGTCAGTACAGACAGGATATTGATTCACAAAGTGCATAAAAAGTTTTTTAAGTTTTGTTTTTGGCAGAAATAATGTGACAGCACATAAATAAAATTTATCAGGAGATAATGCATCAGGCAGTGATCTGATGAGCCCTAGCTCATCATTATTATTTGTTTTATTACTTAAGCACTTTCTCTTTCAATTTTTATTGCAAACCCATACTTGTTGATTTTGACATTTAGGAGCTTAGATGACAATTAGTGTTGCTCACTTAAAATCTCTGTACGTAAACAGGTTGTGAAAGATAGTTATTTCTTCTTTTATGTCAGATCTGCTTGTGTTCGCTATAAATGTGACATCCTTAAAGTGCAGACAAAGCTTTTTGCATCAGCAATATAAATCTAAACAGTCCCATCTGCTGGAGATACAAAGACTTGCTCTCTTACAGAAGAGTTCATCCTATTTTTTAGTTTGTGTATTCACATCACAGAATGGAAAAAGCTGAACGAAACATAATCAGCTTTTGGAGTTCTTAAAAAACAAATGCTTTGTTGATATTGTCTTACAATGAATAATAATTCATACAGCTTCTATTTCCTAATTTATATGGTTAGTGAATTTAAAATACACCATTATTTGTGAAAGCATCTACTCGGTGAGATACTGCAGATATAAACTCGTGGGTTTGTGTTATTTTAACAGTAATTACTGTGATTTTTTTAACTATGTATAAGGAAATAAAGCCATCAGCTGTCAGTTTTTCAAGTAGATTTTGGAATGTCTGCAGTTAATAATGTGTGAAAACATACATCTGCTTTTTATTTTCTGGTTTGCTTTGTTTTTATTTCCCTTTGATTCTGCTTGGCCTTGGGTTTTAAGTTCTGAGGGTCCAGGGTATGTTGTGGCATATTCATTCTTATTATTTGTTGTATGTAGCTGTGTGATTAGATTTTTTTTTTTTTTTGCCTATTCCATACAGTCGTTGCCATCATCTGCTAGATACCTTGTTCATAGCGCTGTAGCTTAGATCTACCTTGAAGCTGTGTAGTTGTCTTATTCTGTCTTACCTAGTTTGGTAAAAAAAAATCTTCTTTGCACATTTTAAGTTCTAATTTCTGAAATATAAGACAGAACTGGATTGTGTCATACTAAATGATTAAAAGATTTGATAGAGTTTTGTTGGCATTAACAAGAGCATATATTTGCTTTTTCTGTTATTGCGTAATTTGCATGTGTTTCATGGAAATACTAGAATGCCGGATTTTATGGAAGAATGACCAAATATCTCTTTTACGATTATTAGTGTTTTGGGACTCAGCCTCTTTAAGCTGACAGAGCCAAAACGACCATTAAAGCCGAGAAGGAAAGAAAGGAAGAAGGTCACAGCACAGAATTTGTCAGATGGAGACATAAAACTGTTGGTGAACGTCGTTAGAGCTTACGATATTCCAGTGAGAAAGTCAGTGATGAGGTATATGTTTAAATGACTGTTTCCAGTACAGATGCATTTTCTGGTTGCAGGGGTTTTGAGGACAGCTGAATCAATTGATGTTGAAATTCAGCCATGTGTGGTGTTTTGATCCTCATGATAAAAACTTAGATATGGTTATCTTTTTAGTAATAATGATAAAGAACTGCTGGTTTGTAAGTTGGTAGAATAATACAATCATTTCTTAATAACTGCTAAATCCAAGAAATGTTTTACCAAACAGCTGTATTCATCTGCTTGAATTAAAAACTGTAACTTACAGCTTTGACAACATTATGACTCTGGTAGTAACAGATGATTTATACCTTAAGCAAGCCTGCTTACAGACTGTTTTAATTCATAATATCGTAATTAAATACCAAAAAAAAGTATTAAAATATTCAATTCTTCATTGTGGGATACTGTATTTGCCTCCTGAGTGTAGTGTGTTACTCTTCCCCTTCGTGAACTGTCTGTTTATGTTAATGGACTGGTCCTAACTTGGCTCTGACTAATTTTCAAGGTGGCCCTTACCTTCAGGCAACGCCTGCCCCGCCTGATGCTGTGTCATATGGAGATACCTGAGTTCTGAACACCCTGGTTCTGGTCCAGAAGCAATGTACCAGTGCAGCGTGCTTGCTGTCTCCCCTAAACGAATACACCTTGTGTTTCACTCGGAGGTGTTTTCCAGCTCAACAGTTACTGTGCATACTGTGTCTTCTGCAGCTTTATCTCTCCACTCTAATAGAGGGTCGGATGGATTTGTCTAAATAAGTTCAGACTGAGAAAAGCAATTTGTATGAGAAACATGTTGACAGGAAGGAAAAGATGAAAAATTGAATTCATTATCAGTATTACAAAAATAACTAAAACTCCTCCCAGTCTTTTTGCATTATGTGATACCTTCTTTTGAGCTGCTTTCTCCATGAATAGTTATTCTTTTAAAATCTCTACTGTGGTGTTATTCCAGAAGAAGTTATGTGGAAATACTAGGAAAATAAACATACTAACATTTATTTTATTTCACTCATGGGTTGATGATTGTGTAATACTTGTATGGGTTTAATTTTGTCATAGAGGCCTTGCCTGGATACCATGAAGTCTACACTGTTTATGATTCTGTGGGGATTCATCTCCTTAAACTGAAAAACCTGTAGCTTAAGGAGATTATATGGGGGAGGCAAAGGAAAAAAAATAGTCTGGGGTTGATAAGCTCTTCGGAGAAGAGAGCCTTACAGGAACTATGCACTCACTACCTCTTTCTGGCATTTCTTTATTCAATCAACACAAATATATTTCCAAGTTTAATGTAAAAATATCAGAAGGACTTCTATTTTGTTAATGAACCATTCTGTATGGTTAATACAGAAAGGGAGGGTTTCATATTTTGTAATGTGCTCTTTGTCTTTTCCTGTTGTTTTTGTTGTCTGTTTCCTCTCGTAGCAAACTTCAACAACCATCTAAATCTTCGAGGTCCTTTAATGAGATGTTTGCAGCCTCTTCAGCAGCTCAGAGCCCAACTGCTAGCCCAGATTGGGCATTTAACCAGGTATATTACAAAAGTAACATTTTTCCTGTGCGACGTTGTGGGCATTCCTCTTCTCCCCAGACAGTAACGTACACCATCAGAAAGGTGTCTTACTACTGAAGTTGACTTGCCCACTACTTGATCTTCAGAAAGACCATAAAGGTGCAAAAGGTTAAGAGAAGAGTGATAAGGATGTCGAAAATATGGAATGGCTATTTTACAGTGAAAAATGGTAGGGGCTTTTCAACCAGAATGGAAGTAACCACAGGTAGGAATATGGTAGAGAGGCCCAAAATCACGAGTAATATAGAGACTGTGGATAGGGATTGACTAAATGCTTAATGGCTCTTTCGGTACAAGGGTGAGGGATTGTCAGATGGAGCTGGGAGGTGTTAGGGTTCAAAGCAAGTGGAAGGCTGTGATTCTTCAAGCAGCAGATAACAGACGCTCAGAGAAGTTGCTTACATGTTCTGCAGACTCGAGGTTCGCTTGCATTTTGAAGTGGGTATCAGGCAAGTATTTGGAAGAATGATCCAGTGGGAGTTTGTAAAAGGAAAAATCATTACATGCTTAGGAAAGTTCATCTAAAAGCAGTTGAAGCCTGGAAGAATAATAGGAGAAAATACTGCATGTTCCTGCTCTGTTGTTACTCTTCTGCCTGTGTCTCCCCATGGTGTTTTCACGCGCAAACTACGTTTACTTGCTACTGAGAACTAAATTTAGCAGCCTTAGGAGTGAAGATGGAAACCTTTCCAGGCTTTTGCTTGTTTCTCTTACGATTTTCCTCCAAAAGTACAGCTTTTTGAAAGTGTGGAAAAGGTTCTGCCATACGCATTTGGATGTTAATGAAATGCTCCGTTAAGGCATTTTTAATCACATTAGGGGTTTGTTGTGTCTAATAGGAGTTGCTTATCTGTAATAGGAGCCAGTGTCAGAGACAGCTGGGATTGCAGCAGTAGGCTGCTCAGATTACAGATAAGAGGATACAGGTGCATTTTTTTCCACCGGTATCTGGATCATGTGCTCTGTTTTAGTTACCTCCTTTGATTAGCTAGCCAGTAGCTTTTCCACTCTCAGGGGAAAATGTGTTTTTGCTGATGTATATAAATACATCAAGTATTCTGAATACATGTAATCTTTTGGAAATACTAGCACAGAAAATATTTAAATTTCAGAAATGCCTGGGAAGTGCAATATTTAAGTTAATTTAGCATGTTCTGACAAATTTTTATAGAGGTCTGTTTCCTTTGTTTTGATCTTTGTTTATAGGTTTTAGTCCGTCCTTTTGTAGAAGTTTCTTTTCAGCGAACAGTCTGCCGGACGACAACAGCAGAGGGTCCAAATCCCAACTGGAATGAGGAGCTTGAGCTTCCGTTTAAGTATGGCAAAATAAACCCAAATTATTACTGAGTGATAATGATTTAATTTGAGCGTGCAAATTCATTCCAATTTTCCTGTTCCATTCAAGTTACTTTTTTGGTTTATTTAACCTTTTCAGAGCTCCTAATAGTGACTACAGCACTCACAGTTTGCAGTCAGTGAAGGATGAACTCTTCATTAACGTTTTTGATGAAGTACTTCATGATGCTGTAGAGGTGAGTTCATCATTGAGGGACAGGGCACATTTGAGAATTTTATGAGCTTTTTGAAGTTGACAGAATAAGATTTTTCCGTGTAGTAGCTTTCACCCTCCTGTGCCTCATTTTTCTCTATTTAGTCAGTCCTTATGAATTTGCATCTAGTCAACACTGCAAGATTGTTAGAGGGAGCAGTCTTTATAGCCTTAACTTTTATCTGTACAAATTCAGCTTTTACCACATAATCTACTGCTAGAGTTGAACATGTGTATATAGTCTGTTTTAGTATCTCAAATTTCATTAAATATCATTAAAATTGAGGGGCAACTTATGAATTGTAATCTTAAGTCTGTTCTTCTTAAACTTAATCAGAAATTTTTACTAAATTCCAGATGAATGATCCTAGTTTGATATTTTTTATTGTCTCTTTTTTTTCTCTTGCTCTGTCTCATCCTGTTTTACAAGCTGTTTGGTGAAAAAAAACTCACATCTTTTGGTTATATAATTTTTTTTGGAACAAGATAAAAATTGCAAGTACTAGTAACAAGATATTTTTGCAAGCTCTCAGTGTTGGCATAACTCCTTCCCCTGTTGAAACTACTGAAAGCTTTCCCAGTAAATTCAGCATACACAAAAATAGCAACACTCAACATTCTTGAAAATATAACCCAAAATTAAATAATGCACATGTTTCACTGAGAAGAGAATTCTGTCCTCAAAACTGAATTGATGAAGCAAAAGGAAGAAAGATACAGTCTAGGAACTCAGATCTCACTCTAGCCTTAAGAGTGGGTTTTTTTTAATATATTTTTTTTTAGTAACTTATAGATTTGCAAATCCCTGACAGGCAATACCCATGAAAACAATGTCTCCATTCCACATGGTTTAGTTAGACTTTCATACAATTTTACCTTCAAAAAGCTTTTTTTAAGTATTAGTAAAATATTTCCTTAGAAGACCACAGCTTAATTCACTTTGTGTGAGAAGACTCTTGTGTACTCCTTGTTAGATTTTTGAGTTCTCCATCATAGGTTATACAGAACTTGAACCTTGAAGCGCAAGCACATGGCCCTCGCACACTTGAAAGGCATCCAGATAAATCATTGCCATACTAGTAATTGAACTGATATTTACAGTAAATTATGAAAAGAATACAGAATTTTTAGTAATACTTTGATTAAATTGTTGATTAAAGGAAATTAAGCTGTCTTAAAGTATTATGTTGGTCAATTTTTTTAATAGGATGATCGTGAAAGAGACAGTGAAATCCACACTCGTGTTGAGAGACACTGGCTGGGATGCGTTAAGATTCCATTTACTACCATATATTTTCAAGCAAGAGTAAGTGTCGATAACTTGGGAGTAAATATCTTAAAATACAAAACTAGAGAATGCAATGTCACATTTAGTGATATCCTCTGAACTTGCTAGTTTATTTTTGTGGAATTATTTGAAAATATCTTTGTGACCAGTGTGCTGAGTATTTGTCAGTAAAGTCAATGGTTTGAAGGGAAAAGAGGTGAACAAACGTATTTCTACACTGACAATGCAGCCTGGCTTCCTTCAGTAATGAGATTAACATTGCAAATTCTGGTTTTGGTGGTGGCTTTTTAGATCTCTGGTATTGCATGGTCCGGACAGGTGAACTAAGAGAAGGAGTATTACCTGGATAGGTGATAGGAAATGACCTAACTTCTTCTTTCATAGTTTTCATGAATCAGCAGATTTTCACCATTGCCTCTCCTAATCCCCTCTTTCCTCCATTTTTAGAACTTTTCAAGAGAAGCTTTCTTCAGAAGATATCAATACGTAGTCATGGCATTAATAGTGAAACATGCATTTCTTCGTAGAGTAAAGGCAGTTTTTTTGTGCAGCCACCCATCCTAGACTTAGGTTAAGGAAACTAGTTTTTCACCTCAGTAGTCCTGTCATACTGTGATCTTGCTGTAGGACTCTTTTTGTCTGCAGGGCAGTTGCTTTCATGTGTAGATCAAATCATCATGTCACAAAAGCCTCAGTTTCTTACTTCACAAAAATTCTGACCTCAGCTGAAATCCTAATTAGTTTGCTCTGTACTGGCTAGCTGGGTGTTAAGGCACACTGTGAGCCTCCTGGATTCTCTGGGTGGAGGATGAGCCTGCACAAGTCTCATTTACCTCGAGTGCAGTGCTTGGCGTGGTCTTCTCGGGCTCGCCATTTGCAAGGCAGAACAGAACGTAATTCTCATGGGGTTCAGGAAAGCATTGGGTTCTTTTCTTTACTGAGAAATTTTGGACAGTGCGTGTCTAACTACTCCACTTGCTTCTGCTAGATCATTAATAATGTGCTGTCTTCAACTTGGGAGGTTAATCAGTGAATTTCGGTGTTTCAGGGTTGTGGCGCCCAATAGAATGAAGCTTTCATTGACTTCAAAAAATGCAAATAGTAAGGTCTCCTCTTCTTTTCATGAGTATTTAGCCATCCTGTGCAGAGAATGTCACATGATGTGGCCATCATTGTTATATGTCAATAAAAAAGAAAGAACAAGATCCTTTTCTCTTTTTTTGGGAAGTGTTGCATGCTGAATGCATGAAATTCACCTGGGAAGTGTGTCTGCTCACAGTCTGGAGAGACTTAATGGGCAGACCTAGACATTCTGCCAGACTGCTTACCAGTACGTAGTGAAGGACACAGCCTATAATCCATCTTTTGAGGATTACTGATCCTTACGTCAGCCTCTGTTCTTTTTACTTCTTGGTGCGTCAGTCTTTCTGTTGTAGAACCAAGAGTAGCTCCAGGATTCCCATCAGATGCACTCCTGATTCTTCGAGGAGCTGTTGCAGTTTGTGATTTCCTAACCGTAGCACGAGTGCTTGCGTATATCTTCTTAGCATTAGAGATTCTTTTCTTTAAAATAGGATTTCTTACTGAAATTGAAAAAGCCCGATGAGTCCAGTGGTTATACAAAGGTGCATCCAGCACTAGCTACTTAAAGTTCAGTAGCAAATGAAGCACTTCTTCATCCTGTTCTACTCTACTGCAGCAGAAATTCCAAGTGATTTATTTAGAGTGTGTATCAAAACTTTTTTTTTTTTGTCTCAAATGATGAGCCAGCCCAGTGAGTCACCTGTTCATCTTCCACATCCACTGAAGATACCCTCCCCGATGGCACTCATCTGAATTCTCTCCAAAACAGGAGGTTAACTCCTGCTTTTCTCTTGAAGTTGTGTACGTCCACAGGTGAGACTTGCCCAAACAAGTGTGGAGCGTGCCAGCTCTTGTCTGACATGACCTTTCAGAAAGGTCTCGCCTTCTGTTTGTGGTGGCAGAGGGAGGTGCAGAGGGCTGGTGTGTCTATGCGAGCACCCTTCCGTGGGGAAGCTGCCCCACGGGCCCAGCTCCAGTTGCACCCAAGAAGCATCAGCAGCATCTGCGTGGAAGGTGTCCGTCTGTGAGAAGCTGGAGCATCATTCCTGCATCACTCAGACACAGGCAAAGGCCTGCTGCTCTGAGGCTGCCTTCAGAAGCGTAGTCCTGCAACCTGTATTTTGCCATTTTGTTGTTTTTCCAGGTAAATAGTGCCATGTGGAGATGGTGATATGAAAGAAAAATAGCGAAAGGCTGGCACTTTTACTTTCTCTAAGAGCCAGTGTGTATGATTTCCATTACATTAAAGATTAGTGTCTGTAATATGCAAGAGAGGCTGAATTAATATATTTAACAATGAGATGTCTCGTTTTTCACACAGATGATCAGTGTATGTATATGTCTTATTCTCCCATTTAATTGTTTTGTAATTCAGAATAATAAATCAAAGGAATAAAATATCTGAATGTGAGTAGCAAATGTATTTGAGAAGGAAATTTTGCTTTTTTGCTTCTAATGAGAAGTATCTCTCTGTGTATGTTGTAGATTGAGGGTACGTTTAAGGTGAATATTCCCCCAGTCCTCCTTGGCTACAGCAAAGAAAAGAACCTGGGAGTTGAGAGAGGTTATGATTCTGTGCGAAATCTGAGTGAGGGCTCATACATAACCCTGTTTATTACCATCGAACCACAGCTTATTCCTGGAGAGTCCATCAGAGAGAAGGTAATTAATCACTAATTCGTCATATTCTTCCATTTTGTTTCCAGTGATGAAGTTCTTGAGATGCATATAAATAGGTATATACTTAGCGTGCTGAAGGACGTGAATACAGCTACAGAAGGACATTGAGACAAACTCTGAGTGTTCCGATTTTTTAGCTCAGTTCAACTTAATTGGATGCACCGTTAAGTTAGCTGGACGCTTAACACGGGAGAAATAACTTTTGCCACGGATGTAGTTCCACTGTTCATAGAAAGCAAATTTGCATTCGTTAGCTGTGAGCATGTAACTTTCCCATCTTAAGCAATATAGTGTTCATGTGCGTATCTGAACACGAAAAGGAGGTGGCAGGTGCAAACATAGTATTTTCTTGCTTTTGTGTTTATGCTGTTGAAATACAGCATTTATTATTTATGGCTTCATGCATGCCTCCATATCTGGAAGGTAATTATTTCTAAACAGCAGCTGTTGGGTTTTTTCAGTTATTTTACTAAACCAGAAGTGCCTTACACTAACAACAACATGTAGTTAAAATGCATACACCACTTGCTATGTTATGCCACGTTATGCAGTGAATTTTGAGATCCGTTCAGCAAGGATGTGTGTTTTTCATGCACAAACAGCAGCAGTTCATTCTTTTCCAATTCAGTGCTACACTGGTCATTTGTTAGAGGCAACCAGGAACTGGAGAGAAAGATCTATCATTACGTAATTTCATTTTCAAAATAAATATAAAATTGTATGATTTATTCGAAATCCTCTTTCTCCTCTTAAATTATGGTCTTGGAAAATATCCAGTCCTGTGTTTTCTTGCTCTCAGACCATACCGTGGGAGTTGTTACAATTGAGTACCATTAAAAGTAAAGAATATTAAGAAATATTAATTAGTTTGAATGATAAGATTATTACTAGGACTCGAAACCGTAAATATAAATTCAGCAGCCTTTGAAGCACCTTTAATAGATGAGGCCTTATTCAAGAATTTCATAGTCTTAATCTTCACATACAGTAATCAGTTGCTGGGGAACAAAAGATTGCACTGAATTTGTAAGGAAACAGATCTCTTTACAGAAGGATGTGTCTATTTTGAAAGATAAATTGTGGAAATTCAAACAAGGGGCGAGATTATTGTAAAATATTATGGACTGCATTTTGCAAATCTTGACCTCTTTAAATGACAAGCAAATGTTAAGAATGTCTTGCGTAGATGCAGTTTGATGCTTCGTTACCAAGTGGTTACATATTGCATTAACACTTTGTACAATGCTGCTCGGTAGCTCTATTTAGAATTAATTTGAGCACTGGGGAAAACCAGCATATTTTATTAAAGTTGTAGATCTTTGTGATGTAAGTTCTCTTTGGTCTCAACTATGACAGCAGGAGCTAACTGCCCCTTGCCAAAACTCAGACATAAAGAACTCAAAAGAGACCGACGTACCTTCCATTCTGGAGATGCAGCTGGCACTCGTGGCGCAGGAAGCCAGGACGCGGGAAGTTAGTTGGGTTCTAAATAGCGCGAGACACTACGTGTCAGCGCTTCTCATCATGAGGAGCCACACTGAGAAGACAAGGGACAGTGGGTCCAAGTTGCATTGGACGAGGTTTTAACTTGATATAAGAAATTTCTTTTTATATTCACTAAGCGACTGTTCATTTTTCAGTGGTATGTATTTAAAAACCTGTACATAAAAACACTACTAAAGTGCCACGTGCTTGTATTCTGAGACTGAAAAAGTTACAATCCTGCGCTGCAGTTCCTCAAATGTGACGTGTAATTATTTCAGAAAGTATTTGGCAAAAAAAATGACAAAAACTGACTAGATGTTTTTTCCATCCTTGGTTCCTATTCCTAGCCATTCCAGCTGTAGTTAAGTCATTTGAATTATTTGTGTGCTGCCTGCAGATGCTAAGCTTAATTTTAGTTTAGTTGCATGATACCTTTTTTTGGTTTTTTACCTGTTTTTCCTCTCTTTCTTGCTGTCCTTCCCGAATCTCTGTATAGATGAATGAAATGCTTAAGAAGGTACAATATTAACAGTTGAGAGATTCCTGTTGTTCCCTGTTTTACGATTTAGCTTGGGTTTTGTGCCATTCAGCAATCTTCCTGCACTTTGTGTTAGTTGATACTAAACATAGTAGTTGTTTATTTTGTCAGTAATATTTGCAGTGAATTACATTTAAATTTAAAAAGTGCCAGAGGCTGTACATTTTGGCTGTTAGTTAGGTTGATAAAAATTACTCCTGTGCCTCCTCAGCTGACTGGAGGTCTAGCTCCAGGGCAGTGCCCAGCTGTTCCACCTCTGGCTAGTTTGAGAAGAAGGGTAACCAATGACAAAAAGTGGTTTCTTTTAAACAAAAATGTTATGAAGGATGAGCTTTAAATTCTCAGCACCACTAGAAGTATACAAAGGGTTCTGAGTAGATGAAAAAACCTATTTTGACTGTCCCTAACACCTTTAAAAAATGACAGGTGTCATATGAGCAAACGATTGTCATTGTTACAAAATTAAGAAGTCGTTTTGAGTGCTAGATTTGCTTCTGGAAAATCTCATCTAAACCCAACATTTTAGACAAGTCTGACTGATAAGGATTCATCTAAAAATTGCTTGGACCTTCTCTGCAAATATTTTGGCATTGCACAAGGTTGTACATAAATAATACTGTGCAAGGCAGTATTATTGATATGAAAATTAGCAGGATTTTGTGCATAAACTCAGTTGTGGTTTTAATGGAGCGTTAGGTGAATAGCATGCGGGATTAATACCTAACCCTAGGGGGAATTGGAGTGGATGGTATTTCGAGGTCCCTTCCAACCCCTAACATTCTGTGATCCTGTGAATTAATGTGTGGTGTTACACACTCATCCCTGCAGTTCTGCTTGGCCATAATTTTCCCTACGTTTTTCAGTGCTTTGACAAAGATAGCTTACAGGTGCGGGTTATATTATGTGCATTTTCCTTTAGCTTGACCTTACTTAGACGTCTGTGATCCAAAGTTCAAAATTCTATTAGGAAATAATTTGACACTCCTTTTATGCTCCTGTAAATGGTGAAATAAGGACGAATGTAGCAAAGACTTAACCCCAAACTATAAATAAAACTATTTTTGTATAAATTCTACTGTCTTTTGAAGTTTGATACCCAAGAAGATGAGAAATTGCTCCAGGCAGCAGCGAAGTATGAAGCTGAATGTACATCAAAGTTTCCGAGCCGCCAGTGCCTAACAACTGTAATTGACCTCAATGGGAAAACAGTTTTTATTACCAGATATATCAAACCTCTGAATCCACCACAGGAGCTTCTTGATGCTGTCCCAAATAGGTCTCAAACAGCAGCAGTAAGTACTTTAGAAAGATAGTGAAGTTTCTGGGTTACAGATTTCAGAATGTGTGTGTGGCCATGTGCACATGGACATAGGCCTGTAGTGTTTTTGTACGTCTGCTGTGTTGCTACGCTTATTGTAAAGGAAAAACCAGAGACAGAAAATAAATTAGCAGTGACTGTGTGTGATACACAGTGAGTCCGTTCATAATGATGCTGGAAAAGGCTATTTGTCTTCCGTGGAGAAAAAGAAAAAAAAGGTATATTAATTAGTATTGCCCTTAAAAAGACAAAGAATTGTGCCAGACCTCAGTAGGAGTAAATTATATCGGACTTTGATAGAAGTTGTAGAATGTGCTAGCTGCTACTGCAATAAGGTTAGCTGGTGTTTTGTCACTGACAGCTGTGGAAAGAGCACTACACATCTGGTATAATTCTACTCTTGTTAAGTATCTGTGTCATGAATTGGTGACTTGCTCTCTTTTGTTTACTTGCAGGAATTGGTGGCTCGATATGTTGCTTTGATTCCTTTTTTGCCAGATAGTGTGTCATTTGCCGGAATCTGTGATTTATGGAGCACATCAGATGTAAGCAGTGCATTAAACATATGTTCTTTATCTTCTTGAGTGGGACATCCTAGCCAGCCCCTGCTTTCAGGTGGGAGGTTGTACTACATGAGCTCTTGAGGTCCCCTCAGACCTAAATTACATTGTAGTTCTATTGTTACGAGCTACTGATTTCAAAGAATGAAGAGCACTAAAGCTTGAGAAAAGTTGCTTATCCTGATATGAGCCAAAATTTTAATCTGTGATAGGCTGCAATTGATAGACCCTAAGAATGCTTACGGCTTTAAGCTTTTCCTGTTGTTGTTGTTTTTTTTTTTTCCCAATTATAGAGCAGTCCACAATAGCTGGGCATGCACAAGTGAAAGCATGTTGACTACTGGAGACTTTAAAACTAGACTTAAAATTGAACATTGTAGTTCCAAGAAATTACAGAAAATCTATTGCATATAATGTCATTACCATCTCAGAACTTTTCTACAAAATTCAGAATAACTCAAAAGACCGTGGTTCTTGTAAAAAGCTCAGCTCTGACTCATGGATTTTCACAGCATTCACTCTTCATCCTGCATTTTGAAGCAGTACCCAAATAAAACCAGTTGCAAAGATCTGTAAGGATGCTTGCTTCAAAGGTGTTATGAAATATTATTAAATGTTGTAAGTTGAAAACACAGTTGATAACTGCATAGAAAGACTTATTTTTCTGTTTGTACCTCAATTAGCAATTTCTTTATCTTCTGGCGGGAGATGAGGAAGAACACGCTGTGCTCCTGTGTAATTATTTTCTTGGTATGGGGAAAAAAGCCTGGCTTATTATTGGAAATGCTATTCCTGAGGTAAGTGACTTTATTTTTTTTTGGCCTGAGTATCAGCTTATATTGTGTGAAGTCTTTGGCTCCCACCAATAGACAGAATTGGTTTTTGCTGGCATATTTATTTAGGAAGGTGATGCAGAAATGGAAACAGTCCACTTGCAGTGTCTCAGTTGTGAATACAGACTATGACAGAGTTTGGGGCAAGGATTAGGTGAATGCTGAGAGGTGACAGGAGAGGGTTGGGGCGTGCCAGGGATTCGTACTGGTGCCTCTGAGTCCCTTGATTCTTTCTGCAGGAGATGGTAAAGCTGCAGCAAGCGTAAGGATGGATTTATTCAGGCTTGACAAGTCAATCTTCATCTGCCTTCTGCAATACAGGCAGGGTCAGCAGCCTGCTTACTGCTGCGTGCCCTGTGGGTGCTGCGAGCCGACTGCGCAGCAACCTAGTTTAGGAATAAAACTTTTAGATTCTTTTGCCCCTTAGGAGATGCATTTGTTCTTGAGGGAGGCACTCAGATTTGCAAGTAAACAATACTGCTCTTTTCAAAGAGATGGTAAAACCATTTATAATGCAGATTGCCACCATTATCTCCATTTACCAGGTATCTCAGATTACCAGGCATGTGTGAACGTTTTGCTGAACAGAATTTTGGTTTAAAAAAAAAATCCCTGTCTAAACTTGTTTCTTCAGCAAGCTCTGAGCTACTGCAGCGGCAGGAACAGGAACGCGGGTACATTCGTTGGAGCACTGAGCTTTACACATGCCGTAAGGCAGAGCCTTATTCCTCGTATTTTAAGTTACCTGGAAAATGTTGGAGACAACAAGTAAATAGAAGAGCAGTTTAGAGAAAATCTAAAGAGAGCTGGTAACTCCCTGAGGTGCCTGAGGGCAGGCGGATGGCTGAGACACGAGCATGCTGCCGAGGCTGCGGTCCTTCAACTCCGAGAGTGCCTGTGGACGAGTTGTGGCAGCAGCCGCGTAGGACAGGCTGACATTGAAGCAGGAGGCATCCAGCACTCCAGGGTAGAGAATTCTGCACCAGGTCTTAGCTAAACCACGGCAACTTTCAGAATCTGTATTTTAAGAGCAGCTCAGGCCTGTGTATATTTTAACATTTCTCTGCCACATAAGAGACACAAAACTATGTTAGTTAGTTGCACTGAAACATACTATTAATGACAATAGTGAAAATTTAGTATTCCAAACAATCCAATGCACAGTGTCTTTGCAGCCAGTTTGAAAATACCTCAATACTTTTTTTTTCCTTCCTAGGGACCAACTGCCTACGTATTAACTTTGGAACAAAGTCAATATGTAATTTGGAATCCCAGTACTGGATGTTTTTATGGGCAGTATGACACTTTCTGCCCTTTAAAAAATGTATACTGTCTGATCAGCTCTGATAATGTAAGTGTACCCAGTCTTGTCACATTTCTGTACCTGGAACAGTTAACTTTTTTTTCTTGTCTTTGTGTATCATTCGCGCTGTCATGTTATTAGTGATTTATTCAATCTTAAGTATGTTTTTCAGCTACTTCTTGTCTTTGTGTATCATTCGTTCATCAGTGTAACTGCACTGTCATGTTATTAGTGAATTATTCAATCTTAAGTATGTTTTTCAGCTACTTGAAATACTTAAAATAAGAAATATTTTTTTAATCAGCATTTAAATCATGACAGCTGTTCACATAATTTTCATTACTGGGTTTTACTTACATGTTTCCAAACTTTGATGGCTTTAATTTACCACTGCTTAGCTGAGGAGTAGTAATTAAGCAAAATTAAGTGTTTTCAGGTAAAATTTAACTGAAGAATTACACCCTAATGGAAGAAGTCATTGCTATAGTGATTGCTATAGGCAGTCAAGATTATATAGTATTTTATTGCCATCTTAGTGGAACGTGTTCCATAGCTCTAATCATATGCTGGAAGTTAAACCAAGCTTGTTTTCTCCTAGATTTGGTTTAATACGCAAGACTATGATTCACCAGTAAGGATAAGTTTTGATATCAGCAAACCAAAACTGTGGAAGCCTTTCTTTTCAAGAAGCTTGCCATACCCTGGTCTCTGCAGCATCCAGGTATTGATAAAATCTATTACCAGCTCACTGCGGGGGGGTGAGAGATCACAGACTTGCTATAAAGAAGAGAACAAGTTCTTTGGGCTTCTGCAGTTAAGTGTATTCATATAATAGCACTGGGTTTTAAAAAGGGTTTTCCTGGGCACTCCTCAGGTAAAAAAAAAAAAAAAGGGCAAGCAGGAATACTGCAAAGTATTTGGTTTTGTAGAGAATGAATGCACCGTTGTTGTCCTCCTAAGATCTCAAGTCAACAGTGAAGTAAATGGGACAAATTTTTAAGACAAACCTATCTAGAGTATTCTAAAGAAAATGTCAGCTTTCGTCTTGGAGCTCGGAAGACATTATTTCAAGCTGTATGCACAGCCTTAGTAATCAAACAGGGATCTCGCTACAGTTTATCAAAGGTAGAAGCAGTTGACATTTACTGGTAAAGAGAAAAAACACCAGCATTACACACAAATACCTATTTAACGTTTTTATCATGTCTCTATTAACTGCTAATTATTTTAGCATAATTGTGAACTTGTGTGAGTACTATCAAGGCAGTAATGCCTGAAGTTACATTATTGCATTGCACATTTTAATACTTGTTTTTAATTTATTGCTAGCCTGACAAATTAGTTTACCAGCATTCGGACAAGGCTGCCGTGGTGGAACTACAGGGCAGGTAATTGTACCTCCATAACAAATGTTGTCAGTGCTAATCACTAGAGCATAGTCATAGCCACACCCTCAAAAAATCTGCCTTGAATGCTAGCAATAGGGAATGGCAAAAAAAAAAAAGCTGAATTTCACAAAGCTTTTTAAAATTCTTTCTCTTTAAAAAATATTGCAGATAGAAAGAACGGATCAGTCACTGATGTACACTTTCCTAATAAGCATAATGCTGTAGAGGGATGAGAGGGGAGGGTGTAAACTGACAGGAGCTACAGGCCCCCCTGCCCCAGCCTCCCGTTCTGTTCTGAACGTGCAGGCACCACACAGCAGTGGTGATGTTGCCTCTCTCTGCTCTTAGCCTGTTACATTTAACTGAGGTCATGTGTGTTCCCCATCCCTTAATCTGTACTGTGTCACGGGGAGATCAGTTCAGACATCCAATAAATACTAGAATTCTAATAAGTCTATTTTATTGCAGGATTGAAAAAATACTAAGAGATAAGATTATGGAATGGAGACCAAGGCACCTAACTCGTTGGAACAGATACTGTACCTCTACCCTACGAAATTTTCTGCCACTACTGGAACAAACCCAAGGCAAAGATGTAGAAGATGACCATCAGGCAGAGCTGCAGAAACAGCTGGGAGATTACAGGGTACAGTTGTGAACTAGAAACAGGAAGATCTTCTGTGGTATAGAAGTGTCCTAGACTATTTATTTCCTCTACTACCAAAAATCACAAGATCACATTTAATCACAAGAGCTTTTACACCAAAGATAAACCATTGTACTATTAGCAGAGCAAAGGCCTGATGATTTATTTCATTTGCAGATGCTGAAGATAAAAATTTTCAATGTAAAGATAAGAATGTGAAGATAAATGGGCTACACTTTTCTTGAATTATTGCAGTTACTACCTCTAGTACATAAATAGAAGTGGATGCTTCTGGGCTGACTGGTGCATTAGTTCTCAGAACAGTCAGTAAGAATCCAGCACTGGCACTGAGTAGTGCTACACACAGTCTACTTACAGGTGCAGCAGCTCACCCAACCACGTGCCCTGCTTGGGTTTTCCACTCTTTAGAGATGGAAGACATTTACTTAAGTGTTCACTGCAGTCACTGCTGTACCCCTGAGTTTTTCCTGCAGGCTGTTCTAAAGGTTGGACCCTTCTGCTCTTCACATAAAACCCAAGTGGGGTTTTCAAAATGAGCTGAGTTTTCAGTTGCTGTTGGACCTGAAACGTATTATGGGCAGGACACGCTGGCCACCACAAACCCCCAGCCAGTCCAGAACACAAAGAATTAAAACCAGTCAAAAGGCAGAGAAGCAGCACGGTTATGCTGTCTGTCTGTCAGTATAGCTTTTTTTCTAGGGGATTTCTAAACATCTTCACTTTGAACTTAACCCAGACTCAAGAGGAAAAATGGTAGAAGCTTGCCTGTAGTATATGAAATAGGAAGGTGGTATTAAAATACAAAATAGGCTTTTTTACATCTCCTCAGGCCAGCAACAGAAAAAATAAATTTTACATGCACAGTAAACCAGGTATTTAAAACTATGTATTTATTCAGGTGCCTTTACCTTTTCTTCTTACCTTGTATGTTTTTTCCCTCTTTCCCCCAGGTCTCTGGATTTCCTATCCATATGCCATTTTCTGAAGTCAGACCTTTAATAGAAGCTGTACACAGCACAGGAGTTCACACCATTGATGTTTCCAACGTTGAATTTGCTCTGGCTGTATATATTCATGCCTATCCCCAAAATGTTCTCTCTGTATGGATTTATGTAGCTTCACTTGTTCGAAATAGGTAGCATAGGCTAGTGAGGATGCCTCAAGAAATTTGCTTATATAGGGGTAAATATATATAAATAACAGATTTCTGACACTCCTGATTTGAGCTATCTCAAGCACTTTAACAAAATCTAATGAGAACACTGCAGAGTTTAGCCACCTTACTTTCAGGTGAAACTTGGTTCCTGGAATCATGCCCTGAAGCCTGTTTTTACCTGATCAGTTTGTCTTATCTACTGACCTTCTTCCTCTTCAAAAGACACTGGCAAATACAAATAGTTGTGGTTTTCCAGTACCTGAGTGCCTGGATGAAGATCAGGACTATCTTCATAAATTCCATCCTCCAAAGAGTCATCAGCGAAGGTCATGCTAACAATTTAAGAGACTGCTTCATACCTAAGGTCTCTGTAATGCCAGCATCATTCACAGATGCAAGATAAATACTTGAACTTCTACAGAAAATGTTAATAAATATTTATACTAAAACCTAAGTGGAAGCACATTCACTTTATACTAGAATTTTGTTAAATTACTGTGGAGTATGAAATCCTTATCTTTAAGTTAAGTTACCCTAGTAAAAGATTAGCAAAAACAGTAGTTTACTAAAAATCAAGTTTGCTTATTAGTGTGGAAGTGGTGTTAGCTGTTAATACTGATATAAATATGTATGTCCTTTTTGCTGCAGTTATCATTCTAATTAAACTCTTCCAAGTGAAGTGATGGTAGGTTGAGCTTAGGAAGAATGTTCATCAGAACATACCAAAGGTCAGATTGTTCTTGAGCTTCACTCCAAACTAGAGTCAGTCTATCTAATAAATACTAGTGGTTTAGAGCGAGGTGTTGCCACCACAGGTTCCCCTCTATAAACCTCCAGCAGGAAAGAATGATGGCATCATGTGTTGTCATCATGTGATGCTTTGCTGAACAACGTCCATGACCCAACTGCCCCTCAGAGAAGGGTGAAGAATAAATGGGCATCAGAAAGCAGCCAGAATTTCTTGTAGCTGATTTGAGTCCTCAGCTGTGTCCCTACCCATCGGCACAGAAACCACTACCCAGCAGCAAGGAGGACAAGGAGCTCTGGCTACACCTTCCCAGGGCCCCATAAACGATTCTGGATCAGGGGCAGGTGCAAGGATGCCCACCAGGTACCGTGTTCCTGCTCTCCTCTTGCCTCGGGCACAGCACCGCGTGGGTGGTCACGGATCTCCTCGCACCTTTGGGCACCAAAGTCAATTCAGTGCAGCTGACTTGAAGCAGCAGTTGCTGGAAGAAGGGCAGCCTTTCCTGCCTCTTCTCTGGGCTTGTAACAGCACCACTCGTCCTCTGTCCCACCCCTGTTCAGCTGTTAACCCCGAACAGCCAGCTCTGCACCAACACTACATTTACTCCTTCTTACCTTACTCTTCAGTATCCAAATTTGCATTTATTGTAATTTCCAGCCCCACCTGCAAGCTGGCTTCCCAGACACCAGAAATCTTGAAAGCTACATAGGTGGTACCATGACTGCTGTCTTAAATACTACTTAAAAATTCCTGGGTTTACCTATTGTCAGCCTTCAAAATGAGGCGGGGGGGGGGGGGGGCAACCTGGCCTACCTTCTACAAAGGCTGCTACATACCCCTCCTCTGCCCAAGAGAAAAACCACCTGCAATTCTGCCACTCACGCAGGTGGCCCTTAAAGTTTGCAATTTAACATGGGCTCCACTACTCACTTCCTCTTGCAGTGTGGGCTCTTCCCCTACCACCTGCCCCTCAACGCACACACTCATGCTACTACTCGTACACTACTCTTCTCCCTACCACAGCTTTCACTCAGCCCAACGATGGATTCTCTGCCTCCCTGATTGTCTCTAATGTTCAATGAAGGGTCTTGTTAAAAATCAAAGCAATGGGTAAAATGTATTGTCTTCCAGAGATTTTGTATTAACGAAAACTGACTTCCGTGGAAGCTCTTTTAAAAAAAAAAGCATCTTAACACAGTCAGGGGAAGAAAAAAACCACAAACACAAAACAACCTCCCCCCCGACACACACACTGCAAGGTTCACAGCTCTGCAACCACCACATCCACCCACCCAATCTCTGCAGCCTACTGGAATGGTATGCGTGGATATTGCACCTTAAAAGCACATATATTCAAGTGCTACATCTTTTTTATTGGTGGGAATGTTTTATTTGAGTATGTCTTTCAAGCCCAAATACAAAACCAAATGCAAAAGGAAAGTGGGAATTTCCCTAATTTTGCAATATAAAGAACGACTTCAGGATGAGAGGAAAGGGGAAGAAACAAGGCTCCTAAAGATGTGTAATTGTTACCCAAATGCAAACAATAACTTTTGAATTCTCTGCACAGCTTTATATTGTACTTATGGATTCAAAAATTTCAAAATAAAAAATATCCACTTAACACAAAATAATCCAGTAAAGTATATTTAAGTGCCAAACTTGGAAGAAAGTGGCATTAAAAATCCAAAACCAAACAAAAATAAAAAAAAAGTTTTCCCATCTTCCCCAAATTAAGTAAAAGAAAACCCAACACCCTTCAAACCAAATGAGATTGTGAGATTGTTACGACACTGTACAGTACACTCATAATTAAGATTTCTGAAGTCACGGGCAGGGTCAGGCTAGTATAATAACAAATCTCACTCCAAGGATTGTTAACACAAGATGCGAACTGTAAGTAAAGTGCATGAGAGGAAGCCTGCTCAGCTAAATGAAGTAGACTGAAAGGTCAGAAGTCAGCGGTCATTCGCCAGAGCGGCAGCAGGCCCGAAAACCACACTGCAAGTTCTGGCATCCACTGGCGGTTTCAGCATGAGGACCTGCACAAAAACAGAACAAATGTGAAAAGAAGAAAAGGCCCTTTATTTCGGTTCAGATTTCTCATCCCCTGGTAATTCAGTAAACATCTCCGCTTTTTTTAATGCGCTGATCTTCGTTCAGCACCGTGAAGTCTGAAACACTGCCAGCACTACCACAGGTAAAAAAAAACCAACAAAGAACAAAAAAAACCCTGAATTGGAACAGTTACATTTCAAGAGGTTTTTTTGCTCCAATATCTTAGTCCCATGAAGATAACGCATCCAAAATGACACAGATGTACAATGAGCAACAAGTTTAAGCAACCTCTCACAGGTAGCTTTAAGGATTGAGGTTTATTTTCACAATTCGTATTTAACTCCCATTTTTAAAAATTCAGATGATGACTTCATAGAGTTACCAAAGAAACCATGATCTCCAAAACTATTTCTACTATAACAGAAGCAGTTTTTTAGTCTGGAAGGTTTCTTCTCCATGAACAGAACACTTCATGGGTTGGCTAGACCTCACACACTCTGACTGGAAATGAAAAAACTAAGAGAAAAATCACTTTAGTATCACTACAGTTATCAGAAAATTCAGAGCACAGATAATTCTACCCACCTCCACTTACCTTTGTTTACTGTTATCCCTTTAATTTGAAATGTTAAAGTGATCATGAGATAAGAAACTATTACATTTATTAGCACAGGATTTTATTTCCTGCAGCCATATGCCTGCTTTAGAGACACAAACATTTACATTCAGGTTGGCTGAATCTGAAGCAGGTTGGTGAATTAACTAAAACAAGCCGGTAAAGACCTAACCAGGTCAAGCCAAATTCCCACCCCCTTTGGATCTGAGACAGATCAAATCGAGGAATATTCAAAGTGGTTTTAATACATTTTAAAAAGACTAGCAAAAATCACATAATGAATCAGGGCACCAGGCTATGCCTGGCTTCTTCCCCCCACCCCCCTTGAACAGTAATTTAAAGTCGTAATTCAATTGATTTCCAAGAACCTGGTGTCTGGAAATCAGCTTTCTGCTTCATGCCACAGACCAGTGAGCAATTTTCTAAAAGGTAATTAAGTTAACATGCATGAGACTGAATAAAAGAAACCTGAAGCTATAATGAAGGACAGTCATTACAGTATGCAAAACAGTAAACTTTTAATCTGTCAATGAACTCATTTTCCTTTTCAAATCTGTTTATTCACCTGAACTAAATTTTGATCTTCCCAGTCACTTACAAGCTAGAGTTTGAAAGCTTCTTCTTAAGTCCTTTGAAAAGGTGCTTTTAAATAGCCGTTTTAGCAGAGCATGTTCTGGCAAGCAGCATTTTCCAAGTCATAGCTGACTTTCCCCATCATTCACAGAATCACAGAGTGTTAGGGGCTGGAAGGGACCTCAGAAGATCATCTAGTCCAGCTAAGCAGCACATCAGTACTTCTGAAGCAACCCTCACCCTTCTGGTAAAATGCTTGTTGACAAAATGTACAGAACCGTAACATCCCCAGGAAGGGAATACTTGGTACACTTCATTATTGTTCTCCATCCTTTTCTTGCCCATTTTAAGAATGTTCTTCCTCATGCTCATAACTGGAACACAAGACTGCCCATCTAGGTCTGACCAGTGACCCATCTAACACAACTTCGTCACTGACAACAGCTCACGTTAACTCCGGAGATGACAACGGGCTGTCGTGTGTACCTTTTATGTCTCCCCAGCATCCCTAACTGCTGTAGTATGGACATTAAAGTCCGTTCCCTATAGCATTTGTTTCTAGCTCAGCGGTGCATGCATTTGTTTAACCTCTTTTTAATCCTGCTGATACTAACTGCTTCCCCAATTCCCCATGGGAACAAGTTCTGAAAGTTCACTACACTGTGCGTCTGCTTCAAATCCACCACCTACCCACTTCATCTGCTGTCACCGAGCTCTAATACCGACGAATTTAGAGAGTTACTGTTGCACATTCACCTTACCTACTGCTTTCCCAGTTCTGTGAGCCGTCACCCCCCTTTCAGCCTCCTCATTCCCAGATTAAAACATTCCAGCCTTTTGAGTTTCTCCTTGCAAGACAGCTGCCCAGGTCCCTAACTCTTCTTAGATGACCTCTTCGGTATCTTCTGTGACTTCATTACATACACTCCTCGCATCCTGAGTGCCTCAAGGCTTCCAGGACCCTGCAGCAACACCCTCTATCTTGTTC